ACGCGGGATTTCCAGAGGAGGAGGATCGTTGATTAATAATTGTAGGATCGTGAAATTCGATGTCACACGTATGTTTGATATCTCTAATGGGTTTCTCACCCAAAGATGTGTAAGAAAAGAGTTAACTTAATTTGTGAATGTAATGACATTATCATTTGCACATCACTGAATTACGAAAATGAAGCTATCGTCTGTCCCCGTTGCCTTTAATAACTCCAGAGGTGTAAGATAACAATCATGAAAAGCAACTGTAAAAAGACTGACGAACAATATATTTTCTTAAATATGTCATATACATTTGTCTGGTCAGTTCATGTTATGACGTGAAAGACTGTTCGCAGTCACCCTAAAAATGAAATAACAAATATGATTAAATGAAAAAGAAAATCATTTCAAAAATAATAAAGATGTAAAGTAACAGGGGCCTGAAGTTAGCAGTGGGTTCGTTATTCGTTATTCGTTTTTCGAATAACGAAAAACAAGCCAGCACCGGGTTCGTTATTCAAAGGCTGTATATTAAACTACAGTAATGTGGTCAAATACACTGAAACTCATTTAATATATGACAGCAGGTTCGTCTTACATCATCATCTAAAAGCTGTTTGGTTATTCAGTACTTTTGAATAACGAAAAACTAACCAGCATCGGGGTTCGTTATTCAGTTTATGTCCAAGAAAATATATAAATAAATGAACAAGAATCTGCTACTGTTTTTATTTATGTACTTATTTACAATAAAGACTTAAACTGTGGGAAAACCTTTGCAGAAGTAGCCCTCATTAAATATTGACTGTATTTTAGGACAAATTAACAAATATAGCAAAATTAAATTGTATAACGAGTGTGGCCTCTGTTCGAAGACCATGCCACTGTATCTTCAACCACACAACCTATATCCGTTCCCACAGAAAAAACGTTTCTGGTCAGTGTCCATCATCACCCACTATAGAACAGTCTTACAATGTATCTATGTTTTCATGAATTACATGACTGGTCAGTAAATGGTGATGACATATCACACAACTGCAGTAAGATGTCTTACTTCTCTCCGAATGTCTGATACTATGACATTAGATTTGTTTGGGTTTGTAACTTTGATCGTTGACTACGACCTGGAATGGATCCCATGATTGTATTCATCATATAGGTGACACGTTAACCTCACGTTTGTTTGCACAGTTCTAGACAACCACCTGCATAGTGCAGTAAACCTAGATTATAGTTCAGTAGAGATCAATACTTCAGTAAACACAAGTGTACATTGTTTGTATAGATACATTGCCATTTAGCATTATAGCAGTCAGATGGATCAGTTTTGCATTGTGACGTATATAACTTTCTGTCCACACCAAATTTACCTATAGAATGAGCATAACTGCTGTCTGACGAACGACTTTTTATAGAAAATACTGTCTGGGTAACTCACAACATTAATGAAAATTATCATACAAGAGTGTAAGTAGTATTGTAACCCTTTCCTATAAATAAATTGAATACAGTTTGATCTATCCCCTTTTAGTTCGTTATTATTCACCGGAAAGAATCCGACTGAAAAGTGTTTTGACAAAATATGAGTGGTGCTGTTTAGATTCCAGTTGCTGGACAGCAGTTAGTAACTACAGGTTCTACTACACCAAATCAAAACCAGTTTGGACAGTGCGGTTTTCGTAGGGAGCCTTCAGTGCAGATCGAGAGATATCTGCAGGCTGTGATTGGAGGATATTCTGTAAGATTTTTATGTCTTTCAAATGTACATCCATCCAGTTATTAAAACTGACCATGTTTTTCTATATTTAGTACTGTCTTTTTTAACATGATGACTTATGCTGAATGTGACCTCAGCTATTTTCAAGTAGGTGACATTTGGTGCGAAATGGGGGGTGGTGTGTTTAGCTTCCGGTACTCGGAAAAGGAGCTGGCTAAACTAGTCATTTTTTAATTTTTTTTATTGCTGCTCTAAGGCCAAACTGTGCACACACGTACAGGTAATAGCTGTTGAATGCTTAGTTATTTTAAAAAAATATAACGTTACTATAGAAGTCTATGGGAAAACATTTTGTTGTGTGTAACCTAAAAACTGCTTGAACATAAATTAGACTACCTCACATTTGTCAATTTGTTGGACATGAACTGAAAACTAAAATGCTGCAGTTTAATTTTTCGTTATTCAAAAGTACTGAAAAACTTAACATCGTTTGGACGATGTAAGACGAATCTACTGTCATATATTAAATGAGTTTCAGTGTATTTGACCACATTACTGTCGTAAAACGAATAACGAATAACGAACCCACTGGAAATACGGTATCTTATATTTGTTATACCAAGTCTGAATAACGAACCCGGTGCTGGTTTGTTTTTCGTTATTCAAAAGTACTGAATAACTAAACAGCTTTTGGATGATGATGTAAGACGAACCTGCTGTCATATATTAAATGAGTTTCAGTGTATTTGACCACAATACTGTAGTTTAATATACAGCCTTTGAATAACGAACCCGGTGCTGGCTTGTTTTTCGTTATTCGAAAAACGAATAACGAACCCGCTGCTAACTTCAGGCCCCTTAAAGTAACATATAGATGATTTTTTTTCTTTTCTTTTTATAAAGCTTCTCTTTAACATGTTCTGTTAAAATCAAATTATGATACGCATTGCAATCTCATGTCAGACTGTATTGAATCGACTACTTGTCCTTGATAAGAAGAGCGCGACATCAGATCCTTTTAAAACCTCTATGAATGTTGATGACCACATTCCAAATGCAGTGTGGTGTTGAGATATGCCGCTACATCCACGGTAATGCTATTGTACCAGGTCCGCCTATAGTGTGACAGGTACAGGCCGGACACTGTAACAAGAAGCGGGTCTATGTTTCGCCGGGAGAGAGGTACCCTGGTATAATCACTGTCATTGATACCGCACTCCTCAAGGAAACTCCCCGTAATTCACCGTCATGTGACCGTAATTTGCATGGAGAAGACATGAATACATTTATCTATGTGATGTAATGGTTGAAGTTATATATACTGGTAGTAAAACGTTTAGCACTGTCAACTTTAAACTACTGCTAATATTATTTTAGAACTATACGTTCATTCAATCCATGTACGTCGAATAAACAAATTGTCAAACCCAAATGTTGTTGTCTGTTGTTTAACGCCGCACTCAGCAATATTACAGCTGTATGACGGCTACAGACGGCGGTCTGTAAATAATCGAGTCTGGACCAGACATTCCAGTGATTAACATCATAAACATCGATCCACGCAATTGGGATACGATGACATGCATCAACCAAGTCACCGAGCCTCACCACCTGATCCCGTTAGCCGTCATTTAGGACAAGCATGTGCTGCAGGAATACAATATTGCAATTGCGTTATGTGATTTTATTAAAAACAACAACATTTTTTGAAACTCCCATACTTTAAGATACACTTACGATAGTCGTAGCGATGGAGATCGGTTTGCAGAAAGGGATCCTGCTTCCTTGCTGGTGTATCTATGAGTCTAAGAAAAGTGTCCCTGGCAGGCAAATTGTTGGGTATTTTTTCAAAATGGGGATTTTATTTAAGTTCTAATTTTCTTAGATTCAGAGATATTTTAACAATGTATGTTTCAACAAAGCCATAGAATTGGTTATTTGTTTTAAATTTCTCAAGGTTTGCCCATGGTCACCCCCTTAAAAAGTAATACGTCAAATTGTGTGTAATCCCGGTAATCGTATGGAAATCAGACAATATTGATTGACATTAAATGCGTTAAATGCGTTGACGTCTATCATAGTCACTGTACATGTGAGAAATAAAACACGTAAATGACTAGGGAAAATTGTGTAGATCGGAGCGCAACATCGAAGGACACAGATGACACAGGTGCCAGAAGGTGTAATGCACCTCCCTGGTGAATGGGTATTGTCAGTGCTGGCAATGTGTCCAGTTATTGTTATTAAACACACATTGGTTCATTAAAATCAAATATGTTGAAATCTCTTTGTTATAAGTCATCGTACCATTTCCTTGGCACCACGAAATATATAACGTCAACGCCAGATATTCATTTGCGCGTAAATGGCAAATAGCAAAAATTATATGAATGGATCACTGAAAATCAGTGATGACACCAGTGATGACACAAGTGATGACACCAGTGAAAATACACATGGTCTACTTTGATTTGAAATTTATTTGTCCCGTTTTACTAAGATCTCGACTCGATATGTTCATGTGGATGGCAGGTTTTAAGCACATCTACCTCATAAGTATTAATTGTGTCTTCGAGGTCGACTTAGTGCCTTTTTTTGAAACCAGGACTAAATCATTCTAAAACGTTTTAGTAGAGTTAGAAGACATATACATCGATTTGAATTTCCTAATATCTCAGCAGAAAGATACTTTAACTTCGATACCATCATACTGTAAATAGGAATGCCGGTATTTCATGCATGTTGGCAGTTGGCGCGTTACTTAAGTGCGTTGACCAGTGATTTTTGTATAAGGCCACCATGATATCATTTTACATGACACTCGGTTATCATTATCAAATTTGAAAAATAAATCAGGACAAATTTGAGGATAATAGTCAAGATCCTAAAAAATAAGCCGATCTGAAATAGTGGTTGACGTATCCGTGACTCTACCAGAGAACATTGTTCAGGGAATGTTGCAAGGAGAGCAACACTAAAGAGAAATTATTAGCAGAGAGTAACATTATTCCTGTTTTGTTAAGGCTACGTTGCAAGGAGAGAAAACGCGAAACGCTATTACCTCGGTAGGTACAGTACTACATTCACATATATATACAACCAAGTGACAGTGCACATTCAGATGAGGCAAGACCTTTGACCTGAGAAATTAGTAACGGTGGTAAGGCGTATCATCGTTACACTGTTTACAATTCTCGCAAGCAGTAAATAAAGGGGACGTGAACTGCGCATGAGCGAAAGTATCTACTTTCTCCAATTGTCAATGCTGCAGTTTCTGAACACTGATATATATAAGATCAAACCTCGTCCATTAAGGTAAAGAGCGCGACTGTTGACGGAGAGTACACATTCGATGAAATGGACCACCATCTCAGTCTGGTCCTAGCACTGGCCATTGTGGTCAGTGTTAACGCACAACAACCTAGCAGTAAGTCAAACTTGTCATTTCTTTTGGATATGGATTCTGAGATGCCAATTTACTGGCCCCTTATATTCAAGTTGTCGGGATACGAACCTGCAACCTCTTGATATGTACTCCTTCAAGTGACCTCTTGCGCTATGGGGATAGTTGACATCACAAATGTCAATTGTTCTCGTTACCATTGTCCTATTTGCACATTATTGTGTTAAATTGTACGACGTTTTTTGTATGTCCTGGAGGTTTAATGTAATTGCTGATTTCAATATATACGTCTTTTCAATATTTTATTTACTGCCAATGATATTCACTTTATTTTAACATGCTTAAATTCTAAACATGTTTAGATGATGGGGATGTTGTGTTTAGGTGGTATTAAGACTGTAAGACGACAGCGCATTTCATGTGTTTTGACCATCAACGTGTTTGGATATTCTATTTAGGATAGACACATTCCTGAATATGTTTAGATCTGTCGTGTATGTGTTTATATTTTAAACACATTTCTGAAAGTGAATGTTGTTTCAAATAATTTATACTATTGTGCCTAATAGGGAGATAATAATATAGTGACAGTATTCACTCGAGTTATGTTCACTAACTCCCCTATGGTGAATTGGTGAATGTTATTCAACCATGCCGTAGTTTTTTGGTTTGTTGTTTAACGCCGCACTCAGCAGATATATGACAGCTATGTGACGGCGGTCTGTAAATAATCGAGTCTGGACCAGACAATTCTGTGATTTATATCATGAGCATCGATCCACGCAATTTGGATCGATGACATGCATCAACCAAGTCAGCGAGTCTAACCACCCGATACCGTTAGTCGCCTCTTACGACAAGCATAGTCGCCTTTTACCCGGGCTCTATTCCCATCATGGGTGTCCCCTTTTGTGATATTGCTGGAATATTGCTAAACGCGGCGTAGAACCGAACTCACTCACGTATATTCTTTAACTATACTCTTCAACGTCTTTTGGGTCGTACAGTATGATACATTGCCAGAGTATGTTCCACAAAGCGATCTTATCTCTACCGTTATTTTAAGTACGATTAAGTACGATAATAGTAAGTTACAATAGTGGTACCACGATTGCTTTTAGCAACGGGGCCGTTGGTCTCGAATTAAGAATGGTTTTACTGTATTACAAACTTGAATAGTAATGTTTCCTTCAGTAAAGGGTTGACAACCAGAAGCGAGATGCATACCCATATAGTGTCGTGTATGTAAGGGAGTACTGATACAATAACCATGAGCCGTGCAAGGACACGGGCGTAAGGCTATGATAATAGGAGTCTGTGCTTCGCAGTGAGGACAGTAATTATACCCTTTTCTTTGTGTCATGTACACGTGATGTTTCCATGATGCGAATGAACATGTTCTTTTATTCATGGGACAGGGGCGTATATCAGTCACCGCAGTTCGCTGTTCACAGTTGATTCCCTTTCGTTTGCAATAAACCTAAGAATCCCAGATTCGCCCTGATTATGTTTGTCTGATCAACACCCGTGCTCGTTGTTTTCACCAAAGTGGTATGTGTGTTTAACATGCATCACTTTGCTCTTTTCTCCAACACCAAGCTGACGCACATTAAAATATCCGAAACACTGTTAAACTACTCAGTCCTTTATTCACATATACAGTTGCACTTTAGCCTCCCATATTTCCAGACTAGCGTCGACCGCCGATGTTACATTAGCAATTAGAAATGTCCATTCGCCATGGGTCAGAAATATCGATTATATGTACTGTGTGGAGAACAAACCTTATTGTCAACATAACACTAGGGTCAAGATAAAAACTTTGCGTTACAAAGACTAGTTGACAATTCACATTTACATAATGATAGAAACTGTGTACAGCCACTTAACACCCAATACGGTAATGTGCTATCACATATAACCTACAACCACCTTATTTGATGTTTGACCCTTATTGTAAACAGGTAGAGTTACCCATCACGAGGTGCGGTGGACATTAACCATAGTATCGTCTTTCCTCAGTCACACCTTCGTTTGTATAACTCACCTACTACACCTGTCTGTAGCCTTGTATCTTCTAACATGTTACTACTATACAAAAAAAACCAAACAACCTGATATGTTTGTCAGAAATGACAAAGAGTCCCGCTCTACTTTATGCTTTTCAATTTTTTGAAACACTGAAGCAAAATCCAGATTTTGTCGTTTGATAAACACTGTAGTAGTACGTTCAAATGTTTGAGGTACAAATCTTACTTGATGGTCATAGTGTGCGTGAGTGGCGGTTGATACTAATGCAGCTATACTTGGCGGGTCACATGTGATAATGTTCGTTAGCGCAGATGCTGTTGGGGGTGCACCCATACATGGGCGATGTGTGACATACATACTCATCAACCTATAACGCGGCGGAGTCATTTTGCAGCAGACCAGAACAAATCGTACATAGTGGTGGCTCGTTAGAATAGTTCATTAACCGTGTTTTAGGCATAACACGTTGATAATTTAGAAGCAGTATTACGCAAATGACAGTAAAGCATACACAAGAACTGAGCAAGTCCGACCTAATAACGTGTAGATTTATACAATCAACTATTTGCTTGGAGGGCAAAAATCATAACTTTCTCGCTTCAAATGCTATTTTCGTATTTATTACAAACGACTTCCCTTGTCAGAGTATCACCGCTGAATCGGCGGAGCTAACATACGTTTATATTGCAATTAACACTCAGTTTTACTGATATACTGATATAAAACAAACATATTAGGAGAGAGAGGGAGGGAGGGTCACAAATGACACTGTTCGTTAGGGCCGATGTGTGTCGGGGGTGGGGCAGTGAGGGTAGATGTGTGGTAGCAGCTACCACAATATATAAATGACAAGAAACAATTATACATTTAAACCGACAATAGACAATCTGACATGCTATGTGTTAAAACCATACCGTTTATCATCATACCAGTTATATTAACTCTTTATAACAGATAGGGGTAGGGCTTACAGCATGTTTTATCGTTATACCTAGCATACTGAAGATCATAATTGAGGTCAACTGACAGTTAGAAGATTCATCTAAGGGAGACAACTCATTAAACCAGCGTTTTGTGCAATAATCTGATAACTAACATACCTACTTTTCATTTCAGCAATTTTAGTCCGCATTGTTGGCACTTCTGCGACCTATGGTAGAGTGGAAGTCAGAAACAACGCTACATCGCCGTGGGGAACAGTGTGTTCCGATTACTGGGGGAACAAAGATGCTACTGTCACCTGTCGAATGCTGGGCTACCGCTGGGGGACGGTATGTAACATCCTTAATTAATTAATCTTTTGCAAAAAAGGTAATAACATTTTCTTGATACAGGCAGCCAGTTGCATCTAGAAATGTTACGCATTTAATGCCTGGTAATGTACTTTTGACTCATGTTTGTATTTATGAGCTTTGTCCTATAACGTATGGCTAGTGTACTAGTATTTTAAAGTTTTGCGATGATCCTTCCATGTGCTAGGCCTTTCGGTACTTCGGCGGCGGGAGCGGCATGATCTACATGGATAACGTACAGTGTACAGGCAATGAGAACACGCTCGCCTCATGTCGCTATTCGGGATGGACTATACACAACTGTAATCATTATGAAGATGCGGGGGTGGCTTGTTCCAACGATAACTGTGAGTTCAGCACTAAATATTCCGGTATAGCATTAACGTTATATGCAGTGGTGTATTTCTGTTATACTCATAGACTTGAAGTGTTCAAACTGAAAGATTTGTTGTAGTGGACCATTAACTATATTTTTGTTTAAACAGTGTCCTGCTTCATATCAAACATGCACTGTAGACTGTAATCAAGGTCACTTTGAATATTTGCTTTCAAGTTCGCTTGGTTGGAACCGCGCAATACACGCAGCGACAGCGCACTTCATCATCGTTCGGTGCTGTGGAATATCGAGATCCGACTGGCTGGAAACCTGTGTGCGATTCTGGCTGGGACGACAGGGATGCCCTGGTTTTGTGCAGGTATTTGATAACTTATGCATACATATATAATTTCTGGTTATCATGGCAGTGTAAGTACACATGGTTGGTCTATTTGGCTGTTACCGCGATGTCTTCTGTAACCTGATACACCTTATATCTACTTTAATCATGCCACAAACACCGAAAGAGTGATCCATTGAATATTTCTATATTCGGTTTTTTGTACATTCTATTTAATATTTTTCAAGGTCTCTGGGCTACCAGGATGGGTCAGCACTGTGCTGTAATCAACTCAGCCCCTACACCTCTAATCCATACCTGGACACAAGGCGCTCAAGGACGAACTTTAACTGTTCCGGGAACGAAGCTAGCATCTTCAACTGCACAAATCAACTGCGTACTTATGGCTGCAGCTATAAGCGAATCGCATCAGCTATCTGCTACTCCCAATTAAAAAGTCAAGTTGAGATGGGTACGGTTTTGTTTGACAGTATTGCACACATGAAGGATCGTCATACATTTGTTGTGATTGCATCGGACAACCTGATATCATTTGTACTGAAAATAGAAACTATAAAAAGTGGCAGTGACGGTGGCGGTCCTGATCATGGCGGTCTTACATTGAAAGTGGTGGTGACTTGTGATCATGGGGAGAAGAAGTAGCAGTAGTAGTGTTTTTCGCTATAATTTGTAGACGTTTTGGGTGTTAAAGTGTGTTTGTTTGTTGTTTAACGCCGCACTCAGCAATATTCTAGCTATATGTCGGTGGTCTGTAAATAATCGAGTCTTGACCAGACAATCCAGTGATTGACATGAGCATAAAGTAGTGCCCGTTGTAATAGAAGCTTAATGCAAATAAATATGTTTAACTAGCATTGTATTCAAGAAGCCCTCATTGTTGTAGGATACAACCTGGCCATCAGATATTGGTTCCAACAGACCGTGATGCGTTATATTATCATGAACCTTCATTCACAGGATTCAGCCTTCGTCTTGCAAATGGCACAGACGTGTCAGGGCAAGTTGAAGTCACAAGGCTCGGGGTTGCGGGTAAAATTTGTGCCAGCAACTGGAACGTCAACGCCTCCAACGTGGTGTGCAAGCAACTTGGCTTCAGAGGCGGTGTCACCTTCGGCACTACGTACGCAAGGACTGACCTTCCTGTGTGGATCACGTCAGTGAACTGTACTGGCCAGGAGACGAGTCTGGACCAATGTGTGTCCTCCGTCTGGGGTGTACCAAGAGGATACTGTAATCCTGCCAATGTCCTCTGTTACAATAACGGTAGGTTTAGTTAGGACCAAAATATTGGTTTATTTAATTCCCATTCTTTTGATGTTATATTACTTATCATAAGAAGTGGTGTCAAGGAGAGTCGGGATGTCCCTCCTAAATGCATATGGCCTTCCCAAATATTTTGTTGCCAGAATAATTATTTTCTGTGTTTTTCAATATAATGTGTTGCTTGTTCATTGATCTTGTGTAGTTATTTAATGTTTCCAAAATTTACTTCTGTGCGTACATATTTCTAGGTTAACGTTAGCGTTTCAATTTGGGAATTAACGCGTAACAGTTATACGAATCTATTCTGAAATTCAAAGTTGGTTCTTTCAAATTAGTACAACACGTTGGACGCGCCTGTAACATGTTGAAAACTGATGTGCAACTAGTGTCTGAGGTAATGCTTAGGTCCAGACTTTCAGTTCACATAGATGTTGCTGTTATATCACTGACATGAGCGTAAGGTACCATGCATTCTTGCACTCGTTTTCCCAGGAAGTACAAGGCAGAAACATTTTGTGACAAAACATCCATGATCCCTGTTCATTGTTCCAATGCTGTTGATCTATCATGACGTCCCTTACAACTCAAGTCCTATTAATTTAGCCGGCTCAAACATACCCGACAGTGGATGTGGAAACGGGGTTTGGTGATTCAGTGACGATCTGTAACTCCTTTGACATTAACCGCAGAAAGGGATTGATTGTGTGGAAACTCTTGATGTATATTCTTTTCTTGAACATTTAACACTGTCATCGTTACAAAATACACGGAATTGTCTGCTGGAGAGAGAGAGAGAGAGAGAGAGAGAGAGAGAGAGAGAGAGAGAGAGAGAGAGCATCTAATCTTTAATACATGTCGTTCTAGGTCCTCCACAACTCAGCCTTGCTGGGGGTTCCAACCACGGCCGAGTGGAAATCACTATAAATGGAGAGACAGGCACAGTCTGTGACAACAGCTTCTCGAACGGGGATGCAAGAGTTGTCTGCCAAATGTTAGGCTTCAAGGACGGAAACTACCTAGCTGGTAAGCTACATCTTTGTGTATTTTAAACCTGCAAGATATTACATCGTTGTAATTCTATCTACAGATCCTAGGAATTGTTTACTTTCTAAGGATATGTAATCTTACCTTTTTCACTGACAAATCTCTGCAACATTTGCATTCCTGGCTTTGTTTTCAAACAGGATCGTACTACGGGAGAGGGAGCGGTCCCATCTTTATGGATCGTTTAAGTTGTGGGGGATATGAACAGACACTGTGGTCCTGTCGTAACCGTGGCTGGAGGAATCCTGAACCATCCTGCGGCAACCACTCGAAGGACGCTTCAGTCACCTGCTTCAATGAAAGTAAAGAGAAAAATCTTACATAGAAACACACACACACATATACCTCCATAAAACGTTATCATATTTCCAAGAAAATACAATATGAAAATATTTTCAGAACATATACTCTTTCCTCGTGAGTTAGATACCTTGGACACAAAGAATCACACCTTGAGACCTTTGGGTGAATCCATAAATTTGGCGTTTAATGATGATTATACTGATTAACTGAAACTGGTATATGTGTTAATCGGTTGATTACGAACCACCGTGCTCTAGCTGCAATATTGACTTACCTCTTCTTATGCTTTACATACATTCACATATGGATGTGGACACTTCACAGGACACAAATGGTTTTTAAGGATGGGAAAACTATATCTTCCGGAAGGGAACGTTTGGAAACATAAATGTATGTACGAGTTCAAATTTATGTTTTCAGTAAGGCTTTCTGGGGGAGACCATGGTCATGGTGTAGTCCTTGTATGGAACAACGTCGGCAGATACTCTAGATTCCAGGCGCTCTGTGGGACTGGCTTTGATGACACGGCTGCAAAAGTCGTCTGTCGAGAACTAGGCTTCCAGAATGGTCGATCCTTGCCAAGGGGATCCTATGGCACCTACTACTACTCCACCTACTTAGGCAGCAACATCACCTGCACTGGCAACGAGGCCTCAATCAGGAATTGCACGTTAGGAAGTGGGACATGCAGTCGCCAGGGCTATACCGGATATGCGTCAGTTTCCTGCTACAATGGAACTCTAAATACAAGTAAGTAACGGAAACCATACGATTCTGTTCTCGGGTGGGCCATTCTTGTGTGTGCCTGCTTAGATACTTGGAATGGGTAACCAACTTGCTGTTGAGGATTGAAAGTGACTTGATTGGTTGCAACATAGCCAAGATGTCATATGCCGAACGATATGTCCTGCACAGTCACTAAGGGTCGACGCTGATACTCATGTAGCTCTGCTTGGGGTCATCAAGTAATGTTGATTTATGTCTTATTGATTTTGAGCAGTCATCCACATCACCTGTTGCGAAATCATTGTAAGCAGCAATGCCAATTACGCGGAACTGCAGATGACATTGCAGCGACAGTACAGTGTAGTTAAGAAGTTGTTTCTATATTGTGTCTACTTTGCCCTTCGTCAACTTCTAAGAAATGCCTATCAGACAAGATACCAGCGGTGTTTATCCATGTTATTCAAGGTGATTAACAATATGACATTATCCACAAACATGACACATTTTGCTCATACTGTCCCCAGGTTAGAGCACACGGGCATGCTTGTAAATATTAAACGTCCACGCAGGGAATATCCTGTTCCCATATGTATCACCTCTTGTTTTTTACCAGACTCTGCTGTCAAGCTCAGTGGCGGACCCGACCCGTATAGTGCTGTCACGGGCCACGTGGCAGTTACAAAGTCTGGAATTTCCGGGAGAATCTGCGAGGTGAATTGGGATGACACAGACGCAGGTGTCGTCTGCCGCCAACTGGGAATGGCGGGTGGTGTCAGCTATCAGTTCAACACACGAGCTTTTGGACCGTTCCTGTTGTCCGAGGTGAACTGCTTCGGCAACGAGACCTCTCTGTTTAATTGTGCCACCGGAAGTGAGGTCTGCACATCTCGGAATTATGCTGGTTTCGACGCAGGTGTTTTGTGTTACAGAAACAATCGTGAGTTGTCTTGAGGAATACAATAATTTATTTCCAGTGTAATGAACAGATACTAAAGCCTCGTTACTCATACCTCGTTACTCATACTGAAATAATATTCTAATAGGAGAAATTATTTGCTTGGGCTTTTTTAAAATCTGTAATGGGATTTTATTAAGCATATCAGATTATTCTTTAGCTACACTGAACTTTGAGTTTTATTAAAGTTTAATTTTAGACATTTAGTTTATACTTAGACATTCAGACTTCATGCAACATAAGACCATTTTCAGCCATTGTATGCTTAGAATATACAATAAATAGTATCAGCTATTGCGTGGCCAAACCCTGTAAATTGAAAGGAACCTATGTCTTGGTGTGACATTGGTGTTCGAGCTTCAAGTTAGCGTGGATTATCACTGTCTGTAAACAGCAATCCGAGTGGAGCTGGTTGGAGGAACTGCGATGTCAGGGAGGGTAGAAATCATCTACGAGGGCGTACGAGGCACCGTGTGTAACAGTTATGGTTATTCAGCCGCCCCCAAAGCTGTGTGTCAGCAACTGGGCTTCAATGACGGAATTTCCTCCAGGTACGATGTGTGAGGTTAGAGTATATTGCAGGCAACAGCTGTAGGTGAGCCCTTCGATATTTAATGTCGGCAGCTTCTGTAGAGAAAGTATATATTGATAGCAGCCGATGTAGAACGAGTATGATAGCGCTTATGTGGAACGAGTATGTATTGATAGCAGCCGATGTAGAACGAGTATGATAGCAGCTTATGTGGAACGAGTATGTATTGATTGCAGCCGATGTAGAACGAGTATGATAGCAGCTTATGTGGAACGAGTATGTATTGATTGCAGCGGATGTAGAACGATTATATGGAGAATCTCACCGAGTGTTTTTTGATATCAAATATATCAACACGAGTTTATGAAAGTGGAAAAACTCCGAGGCGTGCCGTTTTATCAACGAGTGTTGATAGATTTGATATCAGGAGACACGAGGGTGAGATTTTATTTAGCATCCAACATAAATTAGCAGTGTCTTAAGTGTAAAAAAGTACTGCTAACAGCTTCAGTAGCAGAGCCATTAGTGATGTCATCGACAAATTGTGCTTCCGCTGTTGTAGCGACTAGCTGTCCTTATGGGGAAAAACTAAAATTCTTCTTCTTCGGTAATAAATAGAACATTATATTCGTGTTCATGTCATACTATGTTTACGCCACTCGTGTCGTATACATAGTATGTCATGAAGACGAATATAATATCCTCTATATATTGATAGCAGCTTATGTAGAACGAGTACATGTCGATAGAACGAGTATGTATTGATAACATATTCTGTAGAACGAGTATATATTGATAGCATCTTCTGTAACAGGGAACTATGATGTACTGATGCAGCTACTGTAGGGAGAACAAGGATATACTGATGCAGCTACTGTAGGAGAGAACTAGGATATACTGATGTAGCTACTGTAGGAGAGAACTAGGATATACTGATGCAGCTACTGTAGGGAGAACTAGGATATACTGATGCAGCTACTGTAGGAGAGAACTAGGATATACTGATACAGCTACTGTAGGGGAGAACTAGGATATACTGATGCAGCTACTGTAGGGAGAACTAGGATATACTGATGCAGCTACTGTAGGGGAGAACTAGGATATACTGATGCAGCTACTGTAGGAGAGAACTAGGATATACTGATACAGCTACTGTAGGGGAGAACTAGGATATACTGATACAGCTACTGTAGGGGAGAACTAGGATATACTGATGCAGCTACTGTAGGGGAGAACAAGGATATACTGATGCAGCTACTGTAGGAGAGAACTAGGATATACTGATGCAGCTACTGTAGGAGAGAACTAGGATATACTGATGCAGCTACTGTAGGAGAGAACTAGGATATACTGATACAGCTACTGTAGGGGAGAACTAGGATATACTGATGCAGCTACTGTAGGAGAGAACTAGGATATACTGATACAGCTACTGTAGGAGAGAACTAGGATATACTAATGCAGCTACTGTAGGAGAGAACTAGGATATACTGATACAGCTACTGTAGGGGAGAACTAGGATATACTGAATGATACAGCTACTGTAGGGAGAACTAGGATATACTGATGCAGCTACTGTAGGGAGAACTAGGATATACTGATACAGCTACTGTAGGGGAGAACTAGGATATACTGATGCAGCTACTGTAGGAGAGAACTAGGATATACTGAATGATACAGCTACTGTAGGGGAGAACTAGGATATACTGATACAGCTACTGTAGGAGAGAACTAGGATATACTGATACAGCTACTGTAGGAGAGAACTAGGATATACTGATGCAGCTACTGTAGGAGAGAACTAGGATATACTGATACAGCTACTGTAGGGGAGAACTAGGATATACTGATGCAGCTACTGTAGGGAGAACTAGGATATACTGATGCAGCTACTGTAGGGGAGAACTAGGATATACTGAATGATACAGCTACTTTAGGGGAGAACTAGGATATACTGATGCAGCTACTGTAGGAGAGAACTAGGATATACTGATGCAGCTATTATAAACGAAAACTAGGAAATGTTAATGGTAGATGCTTTTCAATGGTTAAGTTACAAATAAAAAAAGTAGAATGGTTCTTTATACAGCTATATCACAATGACAAGCGACTAAGATGAGATTGGTCATACTTCTGGCTGAGTATGAGATTCACATGCAGTTCTTATGACAGTTATATTTTGTCTAATGGAAGGGCGTTATTTTGACAAACAAACCTCCTTTTTATCACAGTTCGTTTGGCCCTGGAAGTGGACAGGTGTTCATGTCCAACCCCTACTGTTTCGGGTACGAGACAAGCATATTCCAGTGTAGCAATGCCGGGTTGGGTTCCACCACGCCTACCTGCCAGAATCACGCGAACGACCTGGGCGTCCAGTGTTACGGAAATGGTAGGTGTAACCAAGAAGTGACATGGCAAAAGGTATGGTGACTATAACAAAGAAGGTAGGCATTACACGCAGGAAATGACATGATATGTTAAACTGTATTGGGATTAAGCATTGAGTAACGGTTTCTCATTTTTGTCATCAATGGTGTTGTTGGTTGGTTGGTTGGTTTATTGTTTAACGCCGCACTCAGCAATATTCCAGCTATATGACGGCGGTCTGTAAATAATCGAGTCTGGACCAGACAATCCAGTGATTAATATCATGAGCATCGATCCAGCAATTGGGATTGATGACATGCATCAACCAAGTCAGCGAGCCTGACCACCCGATCCCGTTAGTCGCCTTTTACGACAAGCATAGTCACCTTTTACGGCAAGCATGGGTTGCTGAAGACCTATTCTATCCCGGAATCTTCACGGGTCCATCAATGGTGTAATGACCTGGCAGTGGTAGGCAATATCAATGGTGTAATGACCTGGTAGTGGTAGGCAATATCCCATTGACGGCAGTAGTTAAAATGGGTTCTGGCTCCATTCCGGTCCACAGAATACAGAGTGGAAACCAAATCTCCAAAATAGCCCTGCGCGTTCATCCGATGACACAATAATTTTATTTATGTAACTCACCTAATGAAATGACAACATTTACATCCACAGTGAAACTTGTACGAGGCACTACGAATGTAAATGCGTCCACTGGCATTGTACAGTTCTACAAAGACAGCACTTGGCGCATCATCTGTGGCAGTGGCTTTGACAACTACGATGCGACAGTCGTCTGTAGGGAGCTGGGGTACCCTTATGGCTTTGCTCTTCCCAGGGGGACCTTTGGGACTCAATATTATACCGCCGCGATCAGCTACTTGAACTGTACCGGCTCAGAGACCACTGTAGCCAACTGCGGCTTCAGAGTGGGCGGCTGCGTCAACCGCTACCCCTACAACAATTACGCCAGCGTCATCTGCTCTAAGCAACCTGTCACCAACGGTGAGTTAGGGTCCTTTGTCATTTGGAAAGGTACAACAGCGTTTGCGCTATCAAAATACTTCCTAGAATAACGCCGTGTGAGAAGTGGTAGATGCTGCTATAGTTACACACTTATGTGTGAGTGAAATAACCTTTTGAGAATATGAAAATGACTGTCCTAATTATTTGCCTTACCTTTGTCAGATTTTGACGTTGTACTTGGCACAACCTTCCCCACTATGGTGAGGATTCAGAAGATGGGAATAACAGCAACTGTCTGCAATAACGGGTGGGGAGACGAGGAAGCTGGGGTGGTTTGCCGATCTAAGGGATACGCATCGGGTGTGGCGTTTGGCGCTGTGGGGTACGCCTACAACACCCCTCCCCGTCTGTTAGTGACAAGCTGTATCGGCAACGAGACGAGGCTTCAGGACTGCACGCTGTCAACAAACCTTCCGTCTTCCTGCACCTCGTCATATTACAAAGCTGCATACGTCTACTGCTACAACGACAACGCAGGTAGGTCGATATTGGTGTTGGGTCACATGCATGAACAGACCCGTGAAGATCCGGGGTAATATAGGTCAGCAACCCATGCTTGCCGTAAAATGCGACTGTCCTTGTCCTAAGAGGCGACTAACGGATCGGTTGGTCAGGCTTGCTGACTTGGTTGACGCATGTCATCAATCCCAATTGCGTGGATCGATGCTCATGATGGGTTGTCTGGTCCAGACTCGATTATTTACAGACCGCCGTCATATAGCTGGAATATTGATGAGAGTGGCGTTAAACAACAAACAAACAAACACATGCATGAACAGTTGTCCAGGGTTGACTGATGTGACCTATTTCACGTCCACAGGCAGGTGATATATATATGGCGTTCTTGACTCAAGTTTTAATGTTGATGACGTCATATGCACTGAAGCCTCAGTCTAATTTTATCATAATTATATGGTGATTGTTTGGTGTTCAAAGCAATCTTAGTGTTTGAGTAAAGAATTTGTAATCTTTTGATTGTTTTTTTCTATTCAGAATAGAAATGTATGTTATATTAACGCGATGGTACGTTTGAAATGGCTTTAATAACTCTGTTTCTGTTAATGGGTTTAACGCCGCTTTGAACAGTATTCCAGTTATATAGTTCGGGGAAAGCCCGAACTGATGCCGTTTACTACCAACTGCCGCCAACTGGCACGGGTATGGTCCTGACAAACATAGAAACAAAGTCGGGGTGAACCGGGATTCGAACCAACAATTAGGGTTCTGGCGTGCCCAAGGGACGCAACCTTGCACAGCGAATTATGGCGCAACGACCTGGTAACGCGTACCCCCTTACGCCCTATAGTACACACCGCTCGTCACGCCGAAAACCACAGAGTTTCATTCCCCACATGGGTACGATGTATGAAGCCAATTTCTGGTACCCTCCACCTTAATATTGCTGAAATATTACGGCGTAAATCCATACTCACTCACAACAGTACACGAAGTGCATTTTCACCGTTTTTATGCGTATAGACGCAGCATATTATATGACATAATTACCATTATTATTATCCCATTTTGTAGGAGTGAACCTCCGTCTGATAAAGAACGGACAAATATCCAACAGTGCTGGACGCGTCGAGGTTCAGATCGGCGGTGTGTGGGGCAGCGTCTGTGCTTACAGTTTCAGCTCCAGCAGCGCACGCGTGGTGTGCAAGTCCCTGGGCTACCCTGATGGCTCCGGTAAAAGCACGAGCACCTACGGCAGAGGGACTGGACCCGTGTGGTTGTATTCTCCAACGTGCTCGGGTACAGAGAAGGCGCTATGGAACTGTCGATCCAGCAGGTTCAATGTCACCAACAGCTACCCCTGCAACGGTCACCGATACGACGTTGGAGTACAGTGTTCTGGTCTAGGTGAGAAGGAGCATATGCTGCAAATTATGCCATATATACTTATTCCAATAATATAGCGCACATGTCATCGTGTCAGCGTGACCTGTGATAGGTTCTTCAAGATGTAAAAAAGCATGTGAAGTAGTAGGGCTTAACATATATATTCCGTTTTGGCGACATTTTAAATGTTGACATTTGTTTGACATGTGCACTTTGACCATGTTCCTAAATTATCGCAAAATGCATTCCTCGCACTGTAACATCATCTCAGAAACCATTGGACCATTGAAGCAGAAACACCAATGTCAACCCCCAATTCTGTTCGCCACAGTATTTTTGTTATTTGTTTGTTTCTTGTTTAACACCGCACTCAGCGATGTCCAGCTGTATGACGGCGGTCTGAAAATGATCGAATCTGGACCAGACAATCCAATGATTGATATCATGGGCTTGGATCCACGCAACGATGACATGCGAGCCTGACCACCCGATCCTGTTAGTCGCCTTTTACGGCAAGCATAGTCGCCATTTACGGCAGGCATGGGTTGCTGAAGACCTATTCTATCCCGGATCTTCACGGGTCTATAGTTTATACTTGTTTTCACCATGCTATTAAATTCTCCTAAACGGGATATTTGGCTCTGAAAACTTCTTTTCTCTTTACTTCTTTTACCATGCTGAAGTAGTGGCATGTGTGCTTTCCTTTTGTTCCTGTTCGTGTTAGCTTTTCGTCTTCCGTATTAATGCAGAACATTATTAATATCAATGTTGACAGCAATATTTGTTCAGTGGCTGTCGTTGTTGACATATCGAACTTATGACTTTATATCCATGTGAGCTAAATCATGAGAAATGAAACATTTGCGGCATTACATACAGTGTCTTGACATAAATAATTGAGAGGTTTTGCAGCCTTAATTATGTATGAACTGTTTCCTCAATTTTAGGTTTGAAAACACTTAAACAGTTTTGGCATCTAATTTGGTAACAGCTGGGTAAAATTGCTGATCTATTTGTAAAACAAACGGTGTTAATAAAGGCTCTCTTTTCCCTTCTTAGTTCGCCTCCAACCAAACACACAGTATGGCGCTGTTCAGGTGTACGACGGCGTCAGCAGCTACCAGACAGTATGTGCCGACAACTTCAACGACGTAAGCGCCAAAGTTGTGTGCAACCAGATTGGCTACCTGTACGGCGTCAGTGTCGGTGCCTCCGCCTTCGGCAGACAGTACTACGGTATTGGCTACACTAACGTCCGCTGCACAGGCCGCGAGACTCGCTTCAGAGACTGCCCCCATGACATCAGCATGACCTACTGTCCCAGTAGGAAGTATGCCTCGGCGGTCTGCTCCAACACGAACCCGCGATCAGGTAAGTAACTACGTATTTGTACTTAAGCCTCATTATAGATAGATATGATATGAAAATTCTGACATTAGTCTGGGAGTATGTAAATATTTGTGTGTAGAGACTAGCTATTGTTTCAACTACATCTGCATAACCAGACAACACCAGAGTAGAGAATACATTGAAATATACCAGCTTGCTTTTAAATACATATAATATTCCGTTTGCATGCCTTACTAAGTTGGGGGCACGGGTGGCCAAGTCGTCTAAGGCGCCGCGATTCGCTGTGCAGAGTTGCGTCCCTTGGGCCCGCCAGAAACCTATGATTGTGGGTTCGAATCCCGGTTCGCCCCAATTATGTTTCTAGGTTTGTCAGCACCATACCTGTGCTCGTGGGTTTCACCGAAGTGGTAAACGTCTGAGACCTGCATCACTTCGGGCTTTCCTCCCACATTAAGCTGACACGCCGCGATATGACTGGAATACTGTTAAAAGCGGCGTTAAACCCAACTCACTCACTCACTCACTCACCCTTACTAAGTTAATCACAAGAAGAGTTTTCCTACAGGGTACACCCTCGCCCTGCAAAACACGTACCAGGGCCGCGTCACGATCGGTCACATGGGCATCAGTGGCTACATTTGCCCCGACGGCTTCGACGACAGGGAGGCCATGGTGATCTGCCGAGAAAAGGGATACACCGGCGGCTTCGCCTACACCTACTACAACAGATACTACTCCTTCTACACCATTTCCACAGTGAGATGGTTGTCCAATATTAACTGTGACGGCTCAGAAACCTACCTCTCTAACTGTGCTGGAGTTCGGTTCGGCGACACTGCCAACTGTTCTTCCCAAGGGGATGCCGCCGTCTACTGCTACCAAACTAGTGGTGGGTATTGACATCAGAATCTAATGCCATGGGCCAGTTTATGTAAGGGTTATGGTGACCTATTTATAAAATATAATGTAAAGAATAAGAAGGGAATTAAATGAAATAAGTTCATGAATAAAATAATGTACACATTATCATATATAAAAAATACAACGTATACTACGGTTATGGATGACAGAGAAATAATTTACAGGAATCAAAGTGTTTTACGAGTAAGTGTGAATACGGGGTGTGTCCAAGTCGTCTAAGGCGCCGCAATTCGCTATCCTATGTTGCATCCCCTGGGCGCCCCAGAAACCTATGATCTGGGTCCTTAGGCATATTCGCCCTGATAATATTTCTTGGTTTGTGAAATTCACCAAAGTGGTAAATATTTATAACATACATTACTGTGGGCTTTCCTCCCACATAAAGCTGCCACTCCTGATATAACTGAACTACTGTTCAAAGCAGCCATATGAGTAAGTATGTGAGAGTGTGGCATATATTAGGTCACATGTCTCATGGCAAATCGTGTCTGTCTGTTCCCGAACTGTTCAGCTGAGAGGTTATCGGATTTGAACTGCAAACACTAATGTGCTCATTCATTTTCCTGAAGGTCTACAGGTGCGCCTGGGAAACAAGACGGGGTCTGCTGGTCGGGTTGAGCTGAGCGTGGACGGGTCCTGGGGTACCATGTGTACACTATACTCGGGGTGGTACATGGACAAAAACGCCGACGTCCTTTGCCGCATGCTCAACTACACCACCGGCCGTCACATGGGTCTGGGAACATTTGGCCCCGGAAGTGGAACGATCTATCTTAGCCGTCTGAACTGCAAAGGGACGGAGAGATCTATCTCCGAGTGTGCGTCTCGGTGGAGGCAGAGCTACTTCAGCTGTTCTAACCACCAGAAGGATAATGCTATCATGTGTTATGACAACGGTGAGTACACAATATTAAAGTAAATAAAAACAGAAATCATGAACACAGTAACACAAGCAAGCCGAATATTCACGTATATTGGTTGAGATGATTTTCGCCTTCTCCCCAGTTCGTGTAATGGGATCCTCCACCGTCAACTACGGCCGTGTCGAAGTGTACAGGAACAACCAATGGTCCCCCGTCTGCGACCACAACTTCGACAACACTGCTGCCCGCGTTGTATGCAGGAAACTAGGCTACGCTGACGGCAAGTCTCAGTGCTGTAACGCAGTGGGAGATGTCGACGCCTCCACCATCAACGTCACCGTCAATGGTTGCACTGGCACTGAGTCGGACCTGCTCAGCTGCAACCTTGCTTTTGGCACCTGCACTACCGGCAAATACGCCACCGTCTATTGCTCCTACAACAACATACGCCGTAACGGTACAAACTATACACTTCACTTATACCTTCGCAAATGGTTTGTCAGTGATATTGCGTCTTTATGTGTCTTTAATGTATTCCCTGAACTAAACACGTGTCAGTGTATTATTTCAAAACTAATTCCGAAATTGTCCAACATAACAGAAAAAACAAATAATGTGAAAATAATAAGACAATAGAGACCAAGACTAAGGGAAATTCATTATATTTAATATGGAAACATTAACGCAGGAGGTGCTACATGCTACATGTGTTATAGGTTCTGGTCACTTTCAGTTACACCTCTCGTTCCTTTACCTTCCAGACGCCGCTGTCCGTCTTCAAGATAGTTCGAAGGACTATGGCTCCATTCAGGTCAATAGGTACGGATTCTGGGGACCCGTTTGCAACGTTGGCTGGAACAATAAGGACGCCGACGTTGCATGCCGTTCTATGGGCTTTGTTGGTGGCGTCACCTTCAGTGGGCAGATCTACTCATCGACTCCCATGTTGGTTGGAAAATTCAACTGTCAGGGTGGAGAGACTAATCTGACCAGCTGTCCTTTCAGTGACCTTGACGACAAAGTTGACCTCGGCTGCAACTCCCCACCGGGACAATCTAGACAGAGCGCTGGTGTCCTCTGCTATAATAACGAAAATGGTAAGATATATGTCTTGTATTAATGGACCTGGTACCTGATATGGCGAGCATTTTATTTGGTATTGTGCATTTATTTTGCCTTTGAACGACCAACTCCGTGCTCTTGGGGATAGAGCGTCTGTCCGGATTCCAGAAGGTCGATGGTTCGATCCCCTGGGCGGCGTCATACGAAAACATTTTAAAGATGGTACTTTTTTTTACCCTGACTGGCCCTCGACATTAAGGGGATGAAACACACACTGGTTGGCTCAGCGTCACTGAGATGTATCTAGTATCCATGTTCAACTGCGGCGTGGCCCAGTCACGCCCAGGCGCCGCGATTCGTTGTGGAGAGTTGCTTCCCTTGGGCACGCCAGAAACCTATGCTTGTGGGTTCGAATCCCGGTTCGACCCGATTATGTTTCTAGGTTTGTCAGCACCATACCCGTGCAGGTGGGTTTCACGGAAGTGGTAAACGTCGGAGCCTTGCATCACTTCGGGCTTTCCTCCCACATTAAGCTGACACGCCGTGATATAACTGGAATACTGTTAAAAGCGGGTTTAAACCCAACTCACTCACTCACTCAACTGCGGTATGGTATCTCAGCGGGCTACCTCTATAAAACCGGCTTTTGTTCCATGTAAGACTTTTGTGAGGACACGTGCAAGCAGCCACACACACATGCATGTACGTTGCTGTGTCAGTGCAAAAGCCCTTAACAAGACGGGGCGGTCGGGTAGCCTAGTGGTTAAAGCGTTAGCTCGTCATGCCGAAGACCCGGTTTTGATTCCCGACATGGGTACACTGTGTGAAGCCCATTTCTGGTGTCCCCCGCCGTGATATTGCTGGAATATTGCTAAAAGCGGCGTAAAACCATACTCACTCACTCACTCACTCACCTTAACAAGACGTTAAAACCCATTTCTCCTCAACTCACCTTTGTTCCTGAGTCTAGAATCGTAAGCACATTGTTTTATGTTATTGTGCCATCTGTTAACAGAATCATAGGCTCTTTGTTATTGCATGTTATTGCCTGGTAAAGAGGTTCAGCATTTTGTCTTGTAGTTTGGCGTCCTTTATAACAATATAGGACGCTTATATATTTTCTGATAGATTTGCGACAATGATGTCCCTTAACGAGAATGGTCAGTTTCAGTGTGGTGGTGCTCTAGGAATGTGACATATCTGGTTCCGTGGTCCATCGGACACCTTGAAAGTAGTGTCAGCCCAAGTAAAACCAATGTTCGTGTGCGTGTGCGTGCATGCGTGCATGTGTTGAAGCTCCAAATCATTCGTATAAACACCTTGCTTCGTTTTCCAGGCGCCTCTGTAAGGTTGGCTGATGGTGGGTCGAACTATGGTCGTGTAGAGGTGAACTACAATGGCGTTTGGGGGCGTGTGTGTGGCTGGTACTGGAGCGATGTCGACGCTAAGATCGCCTGTCGTCAACTAGGTTTTCTGGATGGGAGTGCAAGACCAGTCGCTGAAAACAACAATACCAAAGTGTGGATGAACTATGTGTCATGCAGCGGTTCAGAAGCATCCTTGTTTGAATGCCCCAAATATTGGAACTACAGATGGGGATGTTCTAGGGATGCGGGAGTCGTCTGCTATGACACAAGTATGTCTTGTTCGTCTTGAAAACAAATGTGATAGATGTTATGTGCTATGCCGTCATGCGCTACAAATAACAAAAGGATCAGAAAGGTTTTGTTTGTTTGTTTGTTTGTTTAACGCAATACTCAGCAATGTTCCAACTATATGATAAAGGTCTGTAAATAATCGAGTCTTGCCCAGACAGTCCAGTAATTGATATCATGAGCATTGATCCACGCAATTGGGATCCAATGACATACATCAACCAAGTCAGCGAGCCTGACCACCCGATCCCGTTAATCGCTGGATCAGAAATGACTAGGGAAGTATGATGCATATGGAAGTGCATCAAACAGGCTAATGCGGGAATGCAAATTTACGCAACGTTTCGATACTTTTGCTTTAGGCTGCCATTTTTGTATCCATGTTTATGCCGGCAATGTATGAGAGAATGTATTATTGTAAATGTGTATTTCAGTCCGACTGACGCGTGGAAACCAGTTCTCCGTGGGTGTGGTCGAGGTAAACTTCAACAACAATTGGGGCAGCATCTGCAGCACTGGCTGGAGCGACACCGACGTGTGTAAGTGATCGTAGTACATATATGGCAAAATACGCCTCTTGGGTGAGGATGAGGTAGGAAAATAAACTTAAGACAGGTATGGAGTGATCGTAAGATTAATTAGGATATTAGTACGAGGTAGTTGTGTAAACATGCTGTGTCTAGGGGATCTCAATTTGTTTTGTAGAGGCCCGAAGAGTGCTGCCCAGATCTTACACTTTTCCATTTCACCTGAGGATGCCTGTATGGTTTTGAAAACACTGCGCAACTCCTTTGTCTGCGCAATGTCCTGTATTGGAATGATGTTAGTTATTAATCTACCGCCGATCAGAAGCGTTGACGTCAAGACACAGAGACCGAAAATTGTCAAATATGTGATGTTGTATAAACAAATAAGGGCATGTTTTGCTTGTGGCAAAGCCGAATGGGAGTAGTGCATTCTTTAACGATGCCGTCACTAAATCATGACCTCGCTGCCAGACGGTATAGCACTGGAATGGAATGTCGCTGCAGGTTGTGAGGGAAATATATGTATGCTCACGTGGTTATCGATTTGCTAAATATATAGCACAGTAACATATGGGTATATATACATCATGATGCTTTTTTATGGAAATTTTTTTTATCAATATCTGGTAATAATATTCGTAAAAGTTAAAAACTATTAATTATGCTTTTATGCGAAACTGTGATTTCCCAAAATGACTCAATAGTAAGTTGTGAATTTGTGCGCGTTAATTAAAAATGAGAACTTTGGCAATATTTAGGAGATAAGCCTACTGTGCTTTGAAATGTGATGAAGTCCCACTGTAGAGTAGATACCTCTTATTTTGATTTGGAACAGGAGAGCTTTACCGTATTTTCTCCATTAGACGCAAGGCCGTCTATTAATTTCGCGAGAGCCGTTGGCGTGTATTAGAGACCGTCCCGCGTATTCCGAACGATAGTTACGGGTTTAACGACCGAATCCATACAATCTAGACTAACTACTAGCTATTCCAGAATGTTCTTTTGTTCAGGTTTCGAATTTGTAATGGAGAATCTGTCAAAATATGTTTCGAAGCGTAGTCGCCAATTTGAAATTAGAGCCGTAAAGCTGGAGAAAGCTGCCTTCTGATTGGTCATTCCATTGGTCGGGCAAAGTTCGCGCAAGGTCGGTCTGACGTGACCTGTAATGGGATGTCCTCAGATCTTTGTTTAGCGGTAGCGAGAACTAAGATCTGATTTTAATGAGATTGGAAAATATCCACACATTTTACAGTTCCTATGGGTGATCGATCGGCAGCCATTTTTTGAATGAATCGATATGGCTATCGATGTATATATATATGCACTTTTTTTGCGTGAAAAGGCATTGTAAATATATTTAAAAGGGGTTTCCTTTGCAAAAACCTCTTTTTACAACAATCAAGCAAACAACAAAATCATATGGACTATAAACAAATTATTTATGACAAGAGAGAAAGTAGCTTTTCACCTTGAGCTACATGCAATTTCTATCGATAGACCCTACGAATGTAACATGCATTGTCTAGAGTTAGCTAGTGTAGGGAATCGAACCCAGGTCGTGGGTGATGAGCCACCACATTAACCAGAGGGCTAACCACCGCCTGATTTATCTTTATCCCTGTCTGAAGTGGGTGTTTGGGTTCACGTGTTTGTCAGATTGATGAGGACACTGTCGATTCATGCTAACGCACTTTAAATTCAGCCGTGGCCTGTAAGGAGCTTGGGTATCAGAATGGCTTCAACCTGTGCTGTGGGGTGTACGGGAGTCAGTCCTATGCCGTATTGGACAATGTCCAATGTACAGGAAGCGAGAACAAGCTAGTGGCCTGCCCCCATGACCCCCCTTCTTCCAGATACTGCAGCGGATCAGATGCCTCCGTGGCCTGCTACAACGGCACTGCCGCTACCGGTCAGTGATCAGATTTTACAAACACATTTAAAACAATTACAGTGTGGTCATATTTTCTTCCCCTGCTGTTTTGTTTATTTCTGGGGTTGATGTTACCTGACGGAATATTGTAATGCGTGCCCTCTTCTGTTTATGTTGGCTGAATGTAAAATATATCATGCCATGGGTGTCATGGACATGTATTCTTGATAGCCTCGAGGCTATGATATTAAAAGAATGATTTATAGAACACTGAGTGGACTTTCAAAAGCTGTTTTCAAATCAGTTACACGTCATTTCCTTTCATACAGAATGCATAATCAAATACTCAGTAACTGTTTGCCAACCATTTCCCTCAGTTACAATATATGTTATGCCTTCTAATTGGAACTCCTCATTCAGCGTTCACATGGTCCCTCGCTGACGGCAACAACTACACTGGCGAGGTCATCGTCAACTACATGAACATGGTCGGTCGTATCTGCACTGATGATTGGGATGACAAAGATGCAACTGTGGCGTGTAGAGAACTGGGATACAGCAAAGGCTACGCCTACACCCACTACAAATACTCCTTCTATGCCGACAACGGACCCTACTGGACGTCAAAAACGAACTGTGCCGGCACAGAGAACCGTCTAGTGGATTGCTCCCGAACACAACTGGGTAAAGTGACGTCATGCCAAAATTCCCACTCTGCTGGTGTGCTGTGCGGTGACAATGTTGGTACGTAAATTTAAGGAAACTTAACGAAAATAATATTTTACTTATAATGGGGTGTGATTGAAAACCATACACGGCGATGTCAGATATCAAGCAGGAAAAAATTAAAATTGTACAATAATAGGTTACTAGACCTTATCAATACTTGTATTGTCGTGTGTGATTTTCTCGTATGATGACCCGGAAATAGCATCACACTGAGATATATGTTACCTTTGCCCCAGTGAACTACCGGTGATTCAGTGAACGATTCTCCACATGATCATTTCGATGATATTCAGTGCAAAGATGGAAATAAATTAATATGCAACAATTATTGTACCACGAATAACTCTCCGACTTGTTATTCTTGCTGCTTTTTTCTGCGACGTGTATCAAAAACAGATACATCAATGGTTTATAAATTCGCTTTCGGCCTCACTATGCGTTTATCAGGTTACTTGGATATTGGTCTAAACGTTGGTTAGGTGGGGTACGTATTTATTGGAATAGTGCGCTCAAGACGGCAAGTAGGTTGTTTATGCCAACACTGTACTGATTGCACATTGTGGCGAATGGTTCGGTATGTGTGTTTTGTGTCTTCAGCCAAAGGTATAAGTATTTTATTTTATTTTTTTAAACTGTGAAAGGGTTGTTGCTCTGATACCAAATGTGGCCCTTCGAGAGAATTCTGCGACACAACCATTTTGATACAACTGAGCTTCTCCCACACAGGTATTTACTACAGCCTCTCCAATGGAGGCCCTGAGAACGCAGGTCGAGTGGAAGTGTCTGTCAATGGCGTGTTGGGTTCAGTATGTCGCTCCTACTTCGACAGTAGGGAGGCTACGGTCATGTGTAGAGGCCTGGGATATAATGTAGGCTTGGTGGATTACAACACCAAGTACCCTAACGCCTCCGGGCCCGTGTACGAGAGTAGATTCCAGTGTACAGGCAACGAAGGATCACTGGCAGAGTGCCCACATGAGGGCTGGAAGGTCGCAACCAGTACATACTGCATGAACCACAACTACGACGCTGCCATCACCTGCTACGGAGACAGTGAGTTGATATGATGTATTTAATACTTTTATACACTATATAATGTATGCTTCGCCCTACTTGTTGGCGTTGATGGTCACTGTGCTATTCTGATGAAGTTTGTGATTGCGTGTGTATGATCATCAATTTTGCCCCCGCTTTGCCTTCAGTCAAACTGGCGTCTGGGTTCTCCCCGGACATCAAGCAAGGTCCAGTTCAGGTTTGGAGGAACAACACTTGGCACTACGTGTGCGACACCAACTTTGATGACCTCACCGCGAAGACTGTGTGTAGAAGTCTTGGCTTTGTGGATGGGAAGGCCCTGTGCTGCTCAGCCTATGGATCGAAATACGTCAGGTACTCCTGGTACGGCAACGGCCCCGGCAGCTTCCTGCCCAACATAACGATGAATTGTGACGGTACCAAGTCCGACCCCATGACGTGCCTTACACCCGGCACCTGCTCCAACGACTACGCCTCCGTTGTCTGCTTCAACACCTCAGACACGGTCGAAGAAAGTAAGTTACATCAGAATTTGCACATACTTTTGTTGGATATCTATGTGTTCCTATGAGGGGTGCATGTGAGAAAGTAACAATTATGAATATAGTAATTCATGTACTTACGTAGTTAACACGGTTTGAGAATCTTATATTCCAAGCTTAACTATGACAGACTAATGTTTTATAACACTTTCATTTGTTACGCTCGATAGCCTACACCCTCGGATTTGACGACTCTACTTCGGACAGTGGTCAGATCGCTGTGCAGCACTACGACACGAAAGGCCGGATATGCAACACTTTCTGGACCGACACGGAGGCTGCAGTCTTCTGTAAGGGCCTGCACTACGACAACGGTATCGCCTACCACCACTCTGTGAAATACAACTACCATCCTATCAGATCACGTGGTCCCTTCTGGCTCAGCGCCGTGAACTGTACCGGAAGTGAAACGTCCTTGACAGACTGCGCTTACAATGACAGGAAGAGTTTGGGCAACTGCAGCTCCGCCGACATTGCTTCAGCTATCTGCTTCAATGGAGACAAAAGTAGGCATCCTCCTACAAGGATACATTTTGATTTTAAGCAGCCCAAACCCCGTCCGCTGTTCTTTATTTTCGGAACCAATCAGTGTTCAGATGTCTCAGGGCGATCAGCCCTGGGATCGTTATAGCCATGTGCCCCATTCCATATCATAAGTCTATGTTAAATTTCGGGAGTTACGATCGTCTTAGAAACCGATAAAAAAACAAATAAAAAAAACAAAAACGTAAAGTGATGAATTATTATCTGTATTTTGCTGCACTGAAACCCTTCCTTGTGCATCCTGCCCTAGGTATCCAGTACCGCATGGTGGCGCCCGATGGAACACAACAGAACTACGGTCGTGTGGAGATGTCTGTAGGTGGTGTGTGGGGAACAGTGTGTGACAGATACTTCGATAACCGCGAGGCCGGCGTCTTCTGCCGTCAGATGGGCTACAAGGACGGCTACGCCATACCAAACGCCTTCTACGGCCAGGGGAGTGGCCCGATGTGGCTCAGCGGACTACAGTGCGACGGCTCCGAACCCAGCCTCCACAGCTGCCCTCACTCCGGCTACAACAGCGAGGTCGTCTCGGGTTTCAGCTACTGGTCGTGCCAGAGTCATCGCGATGACGTCTCCGTTTTCTGTGTCGATAATGGTGAGCACGCTAGTGCATTTCTACTTGATCACACCATGGAGAATGTGTATGTAAATGCATCTGTTAAAAAATGTGCGACAGGATTTACAAAATCTGAATGAAGGTCAAGTCAGTTGATGTGTAAAAAGCAGTAGTCTATGTGTGAATAGCAATAGTCTATGTTTATGTGTGAAATCAGCCTTAGTCAAGTAAATAATGATTACGTCCACCGCCCCCGGGATACAATAACATACCGCCAGCCAAGTCATCGAGTCAACGCCCATCCAATTTATTCCTGTTTTGCGACAAGCAACAGATTAATGGAAATGCCAAATAATCCTTTGTCCCCCGTTGAGCTTGTCATGGCATGGTTGTACGTCCACCGTGTCTTTAAACATCTTCTACTCAATTCAATTCTTTATTTCTATACTTGAGGCCAGTGGTCCATATACAAATACAACATAATATAACAGCAATGACAGGTCATAGATCTATGATATTGTGCTCAGAAACAGTTGGACCAGTGAAGTTGAAATATATGTTCAAGTGGTTCGAAAAGGATTTCCCAATATAGCTGTCACGTCAGCCAGTCATATTGAAACACTCATGTATGGCCATTGCTCGGTCAGTTATTTTACAAATGCAAGGGAATTCGGTAAATGTAGTTGGTAGTGATATCTGCCTACAATAATCATACCACATTTGATGTATTTCCAGTGAGGCTTAACACCGGCCTCAACGCCTCCATGGGCGCTGTAGAGGTGTACGCCAACAACAAATGGAACGCCGTGTGCGACAACGGCTTTGACGGAAACGCCGCTCGAGTCGTCTGTAGGACAATGGGCTTCACCTTTGGCGTAAATATCGGTGGGTCATTGTTCGGTATAACCGAAGGTCCAATCGGCATTGGCCAGGTGACGTGCAATGGTCGGGAGGCTAACTTCAAACAGTGCTCTACGACAGCATCAACAACCTGCAAAAGTGGAACCTACGCCTCTGTTGTGTGTTCCAACGACCCTATAACTGATAGCGGTAAGATTTTAGACATATTTCCATATCTTTGAGAAACTTGCTTAAATATATTCCAGATCAAAATGTAAACAGTTTTGTGAGAAAAGATGAGTTATGAGATACATGTGTGAACTACTTTCCTTTGTTTTTGTTGAAGTACAATACAAAAAGACCTAAAGTTTATTGTAAAAAAACCATCCAGTCGAGACGAAATCTTGACAAGAATGAACGTAGTTCGATGTTTTGAGATTAACGAATTAAATACAAACAAACTGGTATTTAATTTTTTGTGTTTCTGCATGTTACAAACACCAGGTTTCCTGCCTCGACTCATTGCTGACGATCTTGTTGCGGATACCCATGGGTTTCTGGAGGTAAATATCAACGGCATCTGGGGCAGCGTCTGCGCCTCAGGCTTCGACGACCGAGCAGCTAACGTCGCATGTAAGCAGCTACGTTTCAAAGGGGGCGTTGCCTACTCGCCCGCAATATACAACCCCTTCCACAGTACCGGTCAGCACATCATCAGCGAGACACGCCCCATCTTGATGACGGAGGTGGTCTGCAATGGCAATGAGGACAGTCTGGCAAAGTGTGCATACAAGGCTCGCAGTACCACCAAGTGGTGTGACTATTACGCCCCAAGAGCTGGATTGCTTTGTTACAGGAACGCTGGTAGGTCATTGCTTCTCTTCATCACTGATTATCAGAAAGGTCGTATATGGATGTTCCCTTGTTATTGAACAAACAATAAGAATACATGCATAATGCTTTAAGACAATTCATTATCTTCAGTCGGGGTTCCACTGGACTTTTGTAGTCAGTTAACAACCTTTCCGCGGGAAGATGTCGAGTTATCGAACTAACACCATTGTATTTTAGATTAAATGAGACTCGTGTTTAATGTTACTTGATATTTAACGTCTCCAATTGCAGGTGTACAATATCGCTTGGTTAGCGCGGCGGGAGACAGCCCCCTGCAAGGCCGTGTTGAAATGAAGTATGACAACCAATGGGGCACCATCTGTGACGCCTCCGTCTCCTCCAACACCGCCAAGGTTGCCTGTAAGAGCCTCGGCCACGTGGACGGACTCCCAGTGTCCAGTGCCCGCTACATGGTCGCAAATGACAACAGGCCAATATGGTTCCATTACTTTAAATGCTACGGAAATGAGACCACACTGCCTACATGTATGAATGATGGTTTCTATTCAACGTTGTCCATCTACAGGTTGTTTTGGTCGTCTTACTGTAAAAGGATTGGACCAGCATCAGCCAAGTGCTACAATAAAGAGATCAGTAAGTATGATCACAAATGTATGTACGTCACACTTACAACATCAGTGTGGCATATGTTCTTCTCTTTCCGTCTTTGACTACAATAGAAATGAATGGTAGTTATACTATTACATTTAACTAGTACAATGACATCAGGGTGACCTGATTATGATCAAACCAAACGAGTGGTTAAATGTAAGAGGAACAACCCACGCTATAGGCACATAACACATGATCAATCAAGGAACCAGGTCGGAACACCTGAACCTCTTTAGTGGGCTTGTTCGGCAATATGGCACAATTGGGACATTATTTAATATAGAACAGACAGGGTTTTTTTATATAAATTTTAAATTTCCTTAATATTCGTGATATGCTTTTTTGCAACTCTACAAATTACTTGGACTTATCATATCCAACTTTGAAATGTTATCCATCCGTCTATTCCACAGAGGTAACAAACGTTCGTCTTGTTGACGGCCAAACCAACAACACTGGTAGAGTGGAGGTATACCTTCAGGGACCCGACCAGTGGGGCACCGTCTGTGACGACGTATGGGACGACCAAGACGCCACCGTTGTCTGCATGATGTTCGGCTTTGCAAAGGGCAAGGCCATGAAAAAGGCCTTTTACGGTCAGGGTAAGGGACAAGTCTGGATGGACAATGTTGGCTGCAAAGGGAATGAAGCTCACATACAGGATTGTTCATTTAACGGATTTGCCATACACAACTGCGCACACAGCGAGGATGCCGGTGTACAATGCTCAGGTGAGGATAATGAATGGATGAATGACTAGGGGCCCAACTGGGAAATTTAGAAGAGTCAGTACAAACTGGTTGTTCCATAGCATTATTCTTCTGCTTGGATTTTATGGAACATTAGCCACACGATTGCTGTCATTCCATATTACTTTACCAATACCAGTTTTCATTTGGCAATGAATATACTTTATTCAAACATGGAGTAAACATTATTTTCATACCTTAATTATTTTGTGAAAAACATCCTTATTCTAAATTGTCAAATGCCATGTTAAAAGTGGATACCTAGAGCTTTTTTATCTGTGTTTCCTCCCTCCCCAGGGCTTAGCATGACTACATATGTTGTGTTATTTCACCTGTTTCCTCCCTCCCCAGGGCTTAGCATGACTACATATGTTGTGTTATTTCACCTGTTTCCTCCATCCCCAGGGCTTAGCATGACTACATATGTTGTGTTATTTCACCTGTTTCCTCCGTCCCCAGGGCTTGGCATGACTACATATGTTGTGTTATTTCACCTGTTTCCTCCCTCCCCAGGGCTTAATATGATTTGTGTTATTTCACCTGTTTCCTCCCTCCCTATGGCTTAACATGACTACATATGTTGTGTTATTTCACCTGTTTCCTCCCTCCCCAGGGCTTAGCATGACTACATATGTTGTGTTATTTCACCTGTTTCCTCCCTCCCCAGGGCTTAGCATGACTACATATGTTGTGTTATTTCACCTGTTTCCTCCATCCCCAGGGCTTAGCATGACTACATATGTTGTGTTATTTCACCTGTTTCCTCCGTCCCCAGGGCTTGGCATGACTACATATGTTGTGTTATTTCACCTGTTTCCTCCCTCCCCAGGGCTTAATATGATTTGTGTTATTTCACCTGTTTCCTCCCTCCCTATGGCTTAACATGACTACATATGTTGTGTTATTTCACCTGTTTCCTCCCTCCCCAGGGCTTAGCATGACTACATATGTTGTGTTATTTCACCTGTTTCCTCCCTCCCCAGGGCTTAATATGATTTGTGTTATTTCACCTGTTTCCTCCCTCCCTATGGCTTAACATGACTACATATGTTGTATTATTTTACATGTTTCCTCCCTCCCCAGGGCTTAACATGACTACATATGTTGTGTTATTTCACCTGTTTCCTCCCTCCCCAGGGCTTAGCATGACTACATATGTTGTATTATTTTACATGTTTCCTCCCTCCCCAGGGGTGCTGCCAACAACTACTGCTACCGGTCCCACGGGAGGTCCTGTTACTCAGAAGATCTCCAGTAACGCGCCCCCAGCAGCAGCCATTGCAGTCCCCATCGTGTGTGCACTGCTCATCGCCGCTGCCGTCTGTGGCTTCCTGTACTACAGACGCCGATACAAAAACAAAGACACCTTGACCAAGGGGCTTGTGCCTGACATCCCTGCTACGACCTCGAGGGGTGGATTCGGAGTGTCACTCGGGGGAGCGTCCGCCTTCTTTTCCAAGGATGCTGATGAGGGAGATGTTTCGGGAGTGAGCAACCCCAATTATGACAATGTTACACCAGATGAAGCTAAACCATCCCATGTAGATGCGAGCAATGCATAATATTGTTCGTAACTCGTGCGCGTAAATATGCTCAGAAAGTTCAAAGTTGTTGAAGGAAGTGTTTGAACAGTGTAATGTACACGGATGTAACATTTAACTGTATTGATCATTCGCGACATATGTTTACATCAGGCATCGTTTCTTTGTTAATGATACTTTTGTAAAAAAATTTCACTCATATTTTTTCTATTAAGTTTGCTTTCTTTCTAAAGTCTGAATCACTTTGCTATACTATATTTCGATTGTGAGAAGGCGTATACGACTTATGAAGTATATATTTTACATAGTAGATTTAAGAAATATATCTGAGATGTTTCTCCACTGGTTCATGAAATATTGTATATATGTATTTTGTGAATTTATATGCAATGTATATTTGAACAATTTCATCAATGATTGTATTTTGTATTTTCATAATTCATTTGTAATACTGTTGTTAATGTTATTTAATAAATTTATGTGGTCTCTTTTCTGCGTGCTTGTTGGTTTACCTTGTGTGGGCTATAACTGATGCCTGTGATTTGGGCTCAAACAGTGTTGCAAATATCCAGATTTAAACATTTGGTGGAAAAGGCGTATGGCTGTATATGATGATTTGCTTCTGAAACACCTCAGGAACAAAAGGTTATTCCATAGTACTGAGTAACTTTCCTTTCTATGGCAAAGTATGTTTTCTATATTTTATTGTTTGTTGTTTAACGCCGCACTCAGCAATATTCAAGTTATATGACGGCGGTCTGTAAATAATCTAGTGATTGACATCATGAGCATCGATCGACGCAATTGGGAAACGATGGCTTGCATCAACCAAGTCAGCGAGCCTGACCACCCGATCCTGTTAGTCGCCATAGTACTGAGTAACTTTCCTTTCTATGGCCAAGTATGTTTTTTTTGTTTGTTTGTTGTTTAACACCGCACTCAGCAATATTCCAGCTATGTGACGTCGGTCTGTAAATAATCGAGTCTGGACCAGACAATCTAGTGATTAACATCATGAGCATCGATCGACGCAGTTGGGAAACGATGGCTTACATCAACCAAGTCAGCGAGCCTGACCACCCAATCCCGTTAGTCTTTCAGAATTCTAAACATTTTCCCATGTTTCGTCACAAGGCCACAGAATGCGTTATAGCTAAAACGGCACCTTAGCAAAACGGTGAAAACGAATAACTTATTTCTGTCAATGCCTTAGAATAGGTGTTTTGATTTTCTCAAATAATTTTGGCATAAAGATATATATATATATATCAGCTGTAGACGTCATATCTAATATCTGCTTGACATTCGTGTAAAACTTCATGGACCTGTATCCAAATCCTTATTCTCGATTCAAGCACAGTTGTGAATATTTTACCAAAATTGAACAATGAAATACCACGGTAATTATGTGGATCATAAACATCCCCTTTTTATACAATGGGATAAGCAAACACGCCGACATTCCAACTATGGGGAAAAACACCTGCTATCAAATATGCTAGTGAAAAATATCTCTAAATATGGTACAATGGATTAAGCATTTCTCAATCTCATCGCTGATAATACACACCAATGAATGAATCCTCCAAAACACAACTGTATGATACGCAGAAACAATAAAACTGACAGAAATAATGGTCCACAGAGATTAATCGACCTTCCCTGAAAGTGTCAAAATCAGGAATGACACGCAATCTCATTAAAATCAGATCTCAGTTCAGCGGGAGCGAGAACTGATACTGATTTTATGAGATTGGAATGACAACCTACGCGTGTGTGGCGCTACTTCGCGAGGCACGCGCAAACTATATGATGTGTTTTGGCGGTACGTTTTACAGACAAAAACGTTCTTGCATAGGATGTTGTCGTCGACACAAATTTTTGTTTTAATATGTGATATATTCACATTTAAAATACATGATCCCCTACTTTTTTAAAAGTATGTAAAAATATATATTCTGCAAGCCACACCGTTTGATGCGTACGTACAATCTAATATAGTTATCAGAGTGGCAGCAATTATTATAAAGTTTCGAGTTGTGTGACTGACGATTGATGTGTGTCGGGCGATAAAATGCCCAGGCTGGTTTCCTCATCTTACCGAGGCAAGGGCGGTAACTGACAATAAACATCCAGTGGAAACGGGACTTCTATAGTCAGTTAACGCCCTTGTCGCCACAGGAAGATGGTTTCCATTATTAACTTGCATAGGTTAAGACCTGTGATGTAAACTACACGAACTGAGCGAATACATTGGGGTTATCCCACGGGATATTGGGACAGTAAAATATGCTGTATTAAACATAAACATTGAATTTTACCGAACCATAATATGATAAATGTTTTACGTCGTTACTCTCCATCAGTAATACGGTACATACGACCCGTGCTCAAACTTGTTATCAAACGTGAAACAAGGGATTAATCTTACATTCGCCGACAGCATTGCTACGGTTGTTTACAGAGCCCACTTTGTCCTTATTTGAGCAGCCCAATCCACAAGAAACACACACTTTGTTGAAAAATGAAAATTGCAAATGCCATAAAAATAGCATTGCGTTTTGTCGGCGCGATAAAAGGTTTTAACATTCCCGTAATATCTGCAAACAATTGGCAAAACACCCATCTTAATAATGCACATTACATTATAGATGATTTGTAGCACTGTGTTTATAATGTATCCTCATAGAAACCTCGAATATGGGTGGGTGTGCAAATGGAAGTTTTCTTACATAAATTAACAGTTAAGCAATGAATTCTTCTCCAATTAAGGAAACTGCAGTAAGATGGGGTGAAATGGCGTATTGGTCGAGTTCAATATTATTTCACTGACATAGCGACGTACATGCTCGTGTGTGTGGTTGCTTGTACTAGTCTGGGTACTGTAGCATATACTGCTTTTCAGTGCCTATGGTTAGTTTTGTTGTAATTATCGATTACTGTTTGATATGTTTGTATGCTGTATGAAATATATACGTGACATATCTCAGAAATGTGAAGCAATGTCTCTGTTAAGCAATTGGGGTTGAAAATCAACCAAGTTAGTGTCGTGTGCTTAACCTGGGATGCACATACAATCTCCCTCGTTTAATGAAGTAATACCGAAACGCACACCTTTTGCTGTTAATAGAGATTAATTTCATTTTTTCACAACTAATCTTTTCTTCTGGACATCCAGTATTTGTTTTTAATCTGAGAGCAAAATATTATTTTTTTCTTGTATATATTTTGTCTTGAAGCTCCTCCTTGATCGGCCACCCCACATAATCTCTTCATACCCCGAGTCGATATCTTCCTAAATATAATCGGGAAATAATTAAATATGTCATTTATTCGGGTGGTGCCTCTTTGGGGGATAAGCGTGCTTGGCTTCTCTTTCTAAGAGATTGTTCTTTTTGTAAGTATGACGTTGAGATGGCATTTGGGAAACAATAGATTAAGTGTCACCTATGTATTTTCAGAAGCATTACCCATCGATGTATTTATAACGCATTTTTATTATCACCATTTTCTATTACACTCATCATAACGGTAATTGCAAGGGCGTCCTTGACATTGACATATCATTCCTCATTCATTTGATAAGCAGTAATAGGTATTGGGCGTGAGTCGCCGCAGTTCTAATTATGGTGTACTGGTTGTTGGTAATAAAACCATTCATTCCCATTGAAAGAACAATGCCAGGCAAATTGCTAAGTATATCAGCGATTGCTAATTGCTTGTTAATAAAACCCATGAGTGGCCAGACAAGTGCACCATCACACGAGGGAGACGATACAACGAGTCTATAGAAGTATATAGACTCCCTCATCACACCTATAAGGGTGAGGTGAAAATGGGTTTAACGTCGCGTTCAAGATTATTGCACTTCGGTCACATGTTTTTACTTTCTTTACGAACCCGCCGACTGTAGATTTTGTTGAAATGAAAAAAAACACCCCACATTATTAGCTAGTTTTCCCCCCAACAAGCTGATAGCATATTGCACCTAAAATATTTTCTAAAGAAGGACCCACTGAAGTTGACATGTATTAAACATGGGAATCAAAATGAAGTTTGTTGTTTTTCCTGAAATTGATTGGATGCATAGATACACGATAGTGTTTCCGTTTGATTCATTAGGTTTGCATTGCTTAACGCAACAGCTGTGTTGCAGGCTCTCTTTATTTTTTATACCTGTGTGGAGCAGAAAACTAAAAAATAATTCAATTGCTTTTATTTTTTTCCCACCTACCGACAGGTATTTTACATGGATACCCCACTAAGGTGTCCGCTTGTTACGTTAAAGAACCGGATTCCCCGCATGGGTACAATGTGTGAAGCACGTTTCTGGTGTCCCGTTACTTTTCTGGACTACTGCGAGGGGCGTAAAATCATACTCACTCATTCTTTTGGTATTTTTCAGTTCAGAAAAGAGAGAAATGTTTGCTCTAATTTCAAAGCGGGCAAGTTTTCAATATATTAAGGGAATTATTGGTTTATCAAATATCTGTGAAAATAATAAATCTTTCTCAGTGGTTAAAAATGGATGCGTCGAAAAAGTGACGATTAAAAAAAAAAGATTACGTCAATAACAAAATATAGAAATTTACCTTTTGTTTGATACGTACCACCACCCATCACAAACACTGAATTGTAAACATAAAATTATCATAAATATTTCTGTATTTACATTGTTATTAACATGGTAGATTAGAGTTATTTCCCTTTATCGATCTTCCTTGAAGAGATATGAAAATGTAGTTTCCTACTACCCACAATGCAAAGAGATATGGTTTCTCCGAAGGTGATGTCATCTCCGTAGAAAGTAATTGTTGTCAATGCGTGGTATTTGGCACACTACATAGTATATATATTGGTTCCTCTTATATTTGCAATACATGTTGTTGTTATCGAAGGTAATAGCGGTGCGTTGCTAGCCTACAAGAACGAGCATCACACCTGTTGGAAATCTCCGAAGATGACGTCACAGACGTGAATACACACATCTCAAGACGGATCATAGAAGGGGACAAATATCATCAACAAACCATAGTAAATATCGAGTAATTACCATCGTTAAACCATCCATTTTGTGATGGATAGCGATGAAGATTTCTTCCAGGATGACCCGGAATCCGAGAGTTCAGAATATGATGATCTGCCCATGGAAATGGAGAACGCAGAGTCATCCGCTCAGGAAAAACAAGAAGAAGAGGATTTCCAATATGAAGTTCTGACTGCTGATCAAATTGTGCAGTATATGGTCGATTGTATAAAGGAAGTGAACTCAGTAGTTCAGGTACTGACAAAACCAATGCATGTTGATGATTTGACAAGTTTAGGAATTTACGCCAAATTCACTCCTGTCAGCAGGATCATAATCTAAAAATAGATTGTTCCTGTGACTGTAAACCATTGTGCATTTCACAGAATTTTAATCATTTGCATTACTACATGATTCCATATTTCATCTTATGTCCAGTATGAGTTATTAGGAAGTATAACAATGTTTACAGAAATATCATGCATTCACCATGTTCACATGGATCTGAAGTTTATACTTTTATTATGATGTGGAGACATAATTTAGGGATTTTGATATGTTGGATATCACATACCATACTGATGTGCTAGCTGTCAGTTTATATCTATGTAGGTTGTAAATGTTTTTTTTAAATTTCCCATGAAGCTTGTCAAGAGGGGCTTATTCAACTCTGGTAAATTTGACAGAAGTGTTCCAGTATTCATTCTGTTTTTGATGTTTCTTTTCTTGTACTTGAAAGTAACTTGTTTCATAAGCCTTCTTAACGTGATAAGTTGTTTTGGTATTTGTAGAACCCTATTCATCATCAACATCATCAATTTCTTGATCTAATTAGGAATAACATGTATGTTGCAAGTTGAAAAATATAATTGGAAGTCATGATAGTAGCAACTGTGTAAAAGATTCTTTACTAATATGTTGGATAAAGACTCTTCTTCATGTCTTCAGAGTTTCTATTCATGAATGCTGATAATTCATCATGAATTGGAATGATTGTCAGATTTCATCATATTAGCAGGAGCTATGATTTCTTAAATAACAGTTAAAGTTGAGGGTACGTTTTCGATCATTACTGTTATGTATTGTGCATGTTGTAGGGTATTACACCTTATTTTGCAAAGGACTAATAATTGTGTCAAGACAGCAATATATATATATCAGCTGTGTAAATAGTGAAGGGGGATTACCACATTCCGTTTAATGTTTGATGATTTATGCATTGTCAGCAATGGTCAAGTTAAGTTAACTAAAATCAAATTTTATATTATAGATCAATTCTTAATAATTCAGATGACTGGTTCAATTATTTCCATTTGCTCTTGTCTGCAAATCAAAGTGTAACTTTTCTTATAAAAAACAACCGTCATGTTAAACAATAGGGCTGATTCACCAGTACCTACGATATCATCGATACATAGTTACACACAATACTTGAATTGTCAGTTTGTGAGATCGTGATACACTATAAAAAGAATAGGAACTACAGTATTCAATGTAATAATCACCCAGGGCGTTCCCAAATTAGAAATAGGGGTCTCTTATTAGAATAAAATTTTGGTGAAAAATAAACAGAGTTGAAAGATTGTAAATTTCATGGTTTATGCTGACAGCTGAGATCATGAAGGTACCAGGCAATACTCTGTTCTATTAAACAAACTGTATTCAGAGTTATCTTGCATTATACCATAACTACTCAATTGCTGCTCAGGTCCCTATGGCTTATTCTGCTGCCTACGTAATACCTGGAAGCAGAATAAGCCACATGGACCTGATGGCACATCTTGCTGTCTCACTGATTCTCCTTGATTGTGACTCTTGGTCAGTCAGCACTATGCACTTTTAGTCCACCAAAATGGTTGTGGAAACTATATAGTATATATATAGTATATAAGGTAGTCTAGTGATGTTACAATGCATCTGCTTCATGTATCACTGCATGTTGATGGTTTGATGCCATCATATGACTGAAATAATGTTCACAGACGTAAAAAACATTTTAATAATTAATTCACGGTTTACAATTTCATTGTAACTGAATTTGACCATGCTGTGTCATCTTGGTTTTCTATATTTGTTTTCAGATACCAGCAACAATCACAAGAATTTTGTTAAACCACTTCAGATGGGACAAGGAGAAATTGATGGAAAGGTAAAAAATTGAATTATGACATAATGTCACTAGTATCATTCTGCAGTTACTAATACTTGCTTGAAAATATCAATAGCCATGGGCATGGTAGTCGGTGAAGTTGACTATGTCCAGCTTGTTGAGATTGTCTTTTGTCAATATTGATTTGTAACTTAGTGTTGATCATGACAAGCCACAGCATGAATAACATGTTTCCTGGTAAGCATTATAAGTGGGAAGGGTGTATGGGTGCTGTCCTTCCGGTCAAACATTGGTTAGTGCCACCTTGGTTATGATGGCAAGAAAAAAACAACCCCAAAACTGCAAATTTGTTCTGAAATGTTGCAGAGTACTGGTATATAGTAAGACATGACCACCAAGTTTAAAAAATGAGAACTATTGGATTGTAATAATTTGTGTGAATCAATGTTGCAGTCTGTTGTATCCAGCAGCTGGAGCTTGAATTTGGCATCATTTTCACAATTTCAGTTAATTTTAGGTTTTGTTTATGGACTAATGTAAACTGATCTTACTAGAACAGAAGAAATCTCACTAGACTCAGTCTTTAGACTAGTGGCAAACTGGTGTTGTGGTTTTGGTTTGGTTTTTTTGTCAGTCTGGGCTTCCTTGTTGTCAAGTCTGTAGGTCTTTGTGATTGTAACATGCTGAACATATTGCACTAGCATTACATAGCTATCATTCCTTTCAACTTTCCTATCGACCATGTTACCTAGTTCAGATTACAAAGTTAACTCGATTGATTGATTCAACGTGGATTGAATATGTGACGATATATTGTCTAAGATAGGGAAATGCGTCCATTATTGGAACAAAATGTACATGACATTCTCCTTGGGTGTGTCGTTTACATGATCAAGGATGTTTATGATGTTTATTGAACAAAGATAAAAAGGACCCAAAGTATGTTAATCATGTTGATGAGTAGGTTATTTCAACTGTTATACATTCCATGTTGATGATGTTGATATGTTACCATGCTTACTGCAACATTGATGTAAAGTGTCAAATTGTATTGTGATTTTCTTGTAACCAACTAGCATGATTAGCTTGGTGCAATGTTCTTTATGTTCTTTGCGATTTATCGCATAGCCATCTCATATTCGACAATACATTGTCTAAGATAGGGACATGCGTTCATAACTGGAACAAAATGTACATAACATTCCCACTTGGGTGTGGGATCTATATGTTCAAGTATATTTAGTATCAATTATCATAAATTTGTCTCGATACAGACGGGATGGACCTTAAACATTTATTGTAACATTTATGTTGGGATATGCAATGAATGCCTAGGACATAGTGTATGTTTAAGACATCTTTTAATATTTCTTTTCCTGTTTTGTTTGATTTCAGATACTATGATGGAGATCAAGAAGGTTTGTTTTCAGAAGCTCATGTCGTCAACCCTCACAAGAGAGAATCCCGTAGCAAAGACTCAAAGGTGATCTTTTACAAAGCTGAGTCAATTACTGGCTGCCCAGCAGCTTCTTGTAACATGTGCAATGTGTTAAGATCTGATACTCTCTCTGGACATGTCCAACTTAAACATGACATACATTGTATTGAACAATCTAACTGCCGCACTTGTTGCAAAGTACAGTACTGAATACCAAAAACACATAAAAACATTTTCGTGAAACTTTGAATGCCAATGTGAAAGTCAGCATTTGTGATTTTTGTTGCCTTGATTTTAGAGGACAACACGGTCGGCTGCAGCTGCTGTGGAAGATGAATGTTGTGAAATCTGTTGTGTGGATCAGAAGCCAGGTGTAAGTACCTGCACGAACATCCCAGAATGTTCTGTCTTTTACCCACCACCCCATGTGGTATTAGTCTCAACAACTAATGAACTCTTTCCCTTACATTACCCATCTGTGCCAAAACAGTTTTGTTGACTAACATGAACATGTCTTACATATACTGCTCAAGAGAAGTTAAGGACCACCCGCTTCTTTCATATAGTTATAGTTAATCTATCGAAGTAGGATCTTATTAGAATTAACAGAAATGGATTTCTTGAAAGGCATTGGAGTTCAGCTCTTGATCTATGCGACTAGGCTGGTGAAACTGACATCCTCTTTTGTGAGACAAGTACAATTCGTGAGGGGCTTGTAATATTTCCTTCTGGACAACTGCTTGTACCATGTTTACTGTTAGATAAAAGGCAACACTGTTGCATATCATTTTTTCAAGAAGGGAAACTAAACATTTATTTCTAACTTGTAAGAATATATGCATTGCTCTTGAGTTCAGCTTTGAGTGAAATTATTTGTTAATAAATGTTATTGACATAATGTTGAAAACAGGAGGAGATGACGGGGCTGGAGTGTGGCCATCGGTTCTGTACAACATGCTGGGCAGACTACCTCACTGCCAAGATCATGGATGAGGGCATGGGACAGACCATCACATGTGCTGCCTACGGTTGTGATATTCTCGTAGATGATGCTACTGTAATGTAAGATTTTTGAACTTATCCCTTCTCACACAATGCGTTTCTTCATCCTGTTTTGATCCTTCTGTTGAAACATGCTTGAACATAGTTTCCAGCTTCTAAAAACAATTCACCCGAACACATCCCAACGTCATGGTAATCCTAATCATGCTAATAGCTACCTACACAATACAATCAAATGATTACCCCTGCCACATCATTCTCTTTCTCATCTCCACCCTGTGTAGACATGTATTGAGTTGTAGAGAATACATTTACTTTGTGTAAGCTACCTCCGCATTCATTGCACATTTTACAACACTAATTTGATGTAAGGATGGGTACCATCCATGATCAAAGGCGGCAGTGTGGCGAAAAGCTATCACGTCTGACTCAAGATAAGAAGATTGCATGTTCAAATGATGTTGGGCTCAATTTAAGTCCGTTGTGTGGTGTATTAACAAAATTGGCTCCACCAAGTCAATATCCCTCTTGTTGCTTCTTCTGGTGTGGGGGCGGTAGGGTAGCCTAGTGGTTAAAGCGTTCACTCGTCACGCCGAAGACCCGGGTTCGATTCCCGACATGGGTACAATGTGTGAAGCCCATTTCTGGTGTCCCCCGCCATGATATTGGTGGAATATTGCTAAAAGCGGCGTAAAACCATACTCACTCACTCACTCACTCACTCACTCACTCTTCTGGTGTGAGGGACATCCTGAGGATCGTCATTGTCACCTGAACCCAGAAGACCATGAAGACATCTCCTTTGCCCAATTAGAGCTCTCCACATCTACCTTGAAGCTGCGATGCCACTTCGGCGCACCCCCAAGAGACTCTTCGGGGCGGTCGGGTAGCCTAGTGGTTAAAGCGTTCGCTCGTCACGCTGAAGACCCGGGTTCGATTCCCGACATGGGTACAATGTGTGAAGCCCATTTCTGGTGTCCCCCGCCGTGATATTGCTGGAATATTGCTAAAAGCGGCGTAAAACCATACTCACTCACTCACTCCAAGAGACTCTTCATCCTACTTTCCACGGCGGCCACCACAGAAGTCTCCCGTACCACGTCTCCTTTTGGCTTTGCTCGTCTATCCTTCGGGCCTTCACTCCTGTGACATCCACTCCACATGAGACTAGAGCTGTCACCTCTATCATGCCCTTACACAGCAATTGGACCCTGTATGCCGTCATGGAGGGCAGTTTTTGGAAGTCTGATGCTGTCTTCACTTCTCACTGTTTCCGTGACATCTCCTTCACCTAAGTGCAGGGCCTACACCAGTTCGGTCCCTTTGTCCTGGTGCAATAGTTGATGACGGCTCACCAGCGCAGATAGACAACTGAGCACCCATTGGAGGGTGAGACATCTTGTCTGTAGAAGCTCTGGTCTTAAACATCAAAGTGCTGCAATGCCTGGCCGTTTCGGTGGTGTCCTGAACCCTTAGCTACCCACATCTGCTTTGTGCATGTAACATATCAGTATTGGCGCGAAGATGTTCTTATGGATATTGTCGATCTTTCCTCTTGGCGTCTCAGAATGTGCCAATCCCTCAGGTGTGATTGATAGCTTTGACGAAGTGTTGAAAGAGATGCCAGGCTGGCTCATCCTATTGTCCCACGGAGGTAGTGGTGTGGTCTGATGTCCCTGCTGGATCGATTATGAATCGTACGCTTAATAGATCACTATCTGCTCACCAGTTTTTGTCTTTATGACACTAGGCAGTGTTATAATGTGTTTTATTTGTGTCACTGTTTAGCATCAGCTTCCCCGTGCACGTCCCATCGTTGTAGTCTATTCTGGCTAGGGTCTCTGTGCCCCACTGTCCAACCGTGGGATAAATACATAATGTGAGATAAGGTATGTTTGTAAAATAAGCTTTCGATTGAAATTTATATACTTACCCTGTCTCACACACTATATGCCAGGGTTCGAAATTAACGCTCGCCCGTTAGCCCGTGGCTAGAGTATTTCCTACAGGGCTAAGAACATCCGCAGAACGCTAGCCCGGGGTGGCTAACTAACCTTAAAGCAGTGTTGGCTGAAGAGCGCGTTTTTGCGTCTTGGACGCACAAAAATAAGTTTGAATGCACCTGCGTAACATGTGTGGGTCTCGTGGACGCAGTGACTTGGGCTATATTAATTTCATATCGAATTGACACTGTTATCGTAAATCAAAGATATACGTCTTTGCGTAAAGGTATTTGTTGCCAAACAAGACAGCGAAGCATGTTGATTAACACTTCCGTTTGCTAAACCAAACCAGTTTCATTATTCTCTCCCTTTTTATGACAAATACCCAAACCGGTTTCTTGACCTATATCTATTGTCAGTTTTGCATGTATTAATTTTCGGTATGGTCCGTAGCTTTGCTTCAGCCAATCGGTGCCACATATTAAGCAAGTCGGATATAGTCGTAATTAATTTAGCTTGCTGATTGGTCGAAAATATCCTGACCCTGTGTCAAACTAAAAATAGCCAGGCACATCAAGGGTATACTTCAGAACGTGGTAACAGTGACCCGCGAAATCGAGCGACCGTGTAGGATGATACGTTATGTTATCGCGGTAGTTAATTTATAATGGATCGTAGTGGGGCACGCTTACAAACTTATTAAATATGTGATTCACAAAATGTTTGTTGTTCATTGGATTGATTGATGCTGATTTTCTTTACCGAGTCCGGTAAACAAAGTACCTGTCATTGGTGAATCTTACTGCAGTAAGTAAGGCTGTGTGGATTATATGGTATATCACTTCCTGTTTTGAATTTTGCATACAACTGAGGTTTGGTCAAGGGACTTCGTTTGAACAAATGGGTTCTTTTTCTAATCAATTTTGAATGGAGGAAGGGGTAATTCCACTTCAAAAACATCCCAGGAACTGTCATAAAAAAAGTTAACGTGTGTACAAGTAGCCGTGACATACCGCAACGAGTCCTGTATTCGATCATGCGATGAAATATATCGTGCTTAGATTTGCATAAGTAAACAGTCGACAGGTTGTGTGGATTACGAGATTTATCAATACCGCGATACTGTATATGATAAAGAATGAATGCGAACACTTGAATATACAATGATGTAAGCATTGTTTTTATTTACCGGACTCTGAATATTTAGTTATTCTACAACAGACTTATCAAGCTGATAATAATTCAATCTCTTGTGACTTATATTAAGAATTGCAAAACACATTTTGCCAGGACCGTTATTGGTGTAACTGACATGTTTAAACATTTATAGCACCTGAAACATGTTGACTAGATTTATCAAGGAAATGCTGGATCCTGAACTTACTCTTACTAAAAAAACGTACGATATGCCAATTATATTTTATGGCTCATTGATCATTGTCACAGTTACAACATGAACTCAATACTCAGTACAGTAGCATCAGAACAGCCATTGAACTTAACTGAATCCATAACTTCAAATCATTGGTAGATCGCGGTAAAAACATTCACAAATGTCTGTCACAATGACCCCTTACCAATGGCTGACCCGTGTACTGCCTTTTCATATACGAAGTTAGATATTAACATGGATAATTTTGTGTTATAATATTCATTAATATCAAATGTCCCTTTTAAGAAATTGTTTGTCCTTGAATGTAAACCTCTTGGTTATGAGAGCAGGATGTGCCCTGATGTGAACCTTTCTCTCACTTTGCCTGTTTGTTGATATTTTGCAGTTTGTTTTAGTCTGGGCTAACTGATCTTCTTCAGGGCTAGTAAAGTTCAGCTGCAGTTAGCCCTGTGGACTGGATCACTTTTTCAGTTAATTTCTAACCCTGTATGCCATACTGATTATCCACACATCACAGCTCCTATAGCCTGTTACCTCTAAGGTGCAGTGGAATAGCCTAGTGGTAAAAGTGTTCACTCATCATGACAAAGACCTGGGTTCGCTTCCCCACATTGGTACAATGTGTGAAGTCCATTTCTGGTGTTCCCTGTCGTGACATTGCTGGAATATTGCTAAAAGAGGTGTAAAACAATACTCATTCACTCACTGTTATCTCTAGGAAATAGGATGATGTGGCAGTGGGTAGTCATGTGATCGTATAGTGTATGTCTCTTTGCATGGGATTACAGTGTGTGACTCATTTGTTTGGGTGGTGACCATGGTGATGTTGGGATGTGTTTGGATGAAATGTGTTTTTAGCTGGAAACCTTTGTTCAAGCACGTTTTCATTTAAGGATCGAAAGAAAAAGGAAGAAATGCATAGTGTGAGATACATATGTGAATATACAACTTAATGTAAAGCTTACAATACTCAATTTGATTGTGTTAAAGCAGTGGTTATTTCTCACATAACATCTCACATGATCCTGTGGACATAGCAAGATTTGATTAAAATCATAGTGATATGTATCCATTGTTATGTTCTCTTCCACTTGTTTAGGTCTATGTTGAGTTCTCTTCATGTTGATCTGTTGTTACTGTATGATTATATGTTGAAGTACTGTTCAAGTTTGATCTATACTGTTCCTGATATATGAACGTGAGGTGACCTACAGAACCACATGGCTTGTTTTTGATGAAATCAGAAAGAAGTCATGGCTAGCTGAGTCTAAATATGTCTTGATTTGATTGCAGGTCACTCATTAGCGATGCCAAAGTCAAGTTAAAATATCAACTCATTATAACAAATAGTTTTGTAGAGGTGAGACTTTTTTGGGTTATGACCGTTGTGTGGTATACATGTGAATGTTGGAGATATTGTTAATGTTGTGTATGTAGACAACTTGGAATCATTAGGAGATTATGGATGGAACATCTACATGATCTAAACCACTGTGATGTTCAATGGTCAGCAAGAGTTAATAACAGACTGATTACCACACAATAACACGATTCATGTAACTGGAAATCATTACAGAATGTTATTGCAGGTACACAATATTTATTTGTGTTATGATCACGTTTATCGTGTACTTTATATGGGTATGCACGTTTTACTGCCAACTGTTACCATCTTTACTGACAACCCTCCATTACTGGCAGTGACAATTGGTGAGTACCTATTAAGTGTTGCCAATTATGGTGATTATTTGTTGTGTTTGTGTTGTAGTGTAATAGGTTACTACGGTGGTGCCCAGCACCGGATTGTGGACACGTGGTCAAAGTGGGCTACTTCGACAACAAGCCAGTCACCTGTATCTGCAGTCACACATTCTGGTTTGTTCATTTTATCACACCTGTTGCAGCATATTATATCCTTTTTACTTACTTCAATTATTTTCTCAAACAAGATTAAGTGCAAAATATTTTATCCCCCCCCCCCCCCCCCCCAGCATATAATGCAGGGGGAAATAATTGACGCCCTGTCCGTCTGTAATCATTCGTTTCCAGAGCGTAACTCGAAAACCGTTAAATATTTTTCAACAAAAATTGGTCGATATATCGAACAGGTCCTGAAGTGATACCTTTTGCTATTTACGGATTTTTGACATTTTTATTTTCTTCAACTTCCATGGAAACAATTTGGACTTAGTCTCTCTAAAATGCGGGTGGATTTCGTTTCTAGAGCTCAAATCAAAACTTTCAATATCTTTCAACAAAATTTGTCAGATATATCAAACAGATCCTGAAATAGTGCCTTTTGCTATTTGCAGACTTTTAGCATTTTATTTCTCAATTTTAATGGAAATAATTTGGACTTAGTCTCAAAAGGGAGGGCTAGGTGTCATTTCTGTGGAAGACTTTTCATTCAAACCTGGTACATGTATAAACCAAGGGTTGCTATTTAGGAATTTTTCAACATTTGATTTTTCCCGGTTTCCATAACAACGGAGGTAGGTGTCGTTTCCGGAGCAGAACTAAAAACCTATTCAACATTTTTCATCCAAACTTTGTACATGTATTAATCAAGGGCTGAAGTGGTGCCTTTTGCTATTTAGGAATTTTTAGATTTCCTGTGCCCATGGGACTTTGACTCTGTTCATAGTGGTGTGTTTCTCGACCACATCTCTAAAACTAATAGGTATTCGTTTATGATACTTTGCACACTCAAAGACAAGTTTGTTAAATGGTGCCTTTTGCTACTTAGGGTTGTTTAGAATATATATTTTTTCTGTTTCCATGGCAACAAGTTTGACTTTGACTCTGTTCATAATGGTGTGTTTGTTCAGACCAGATCTCTAAAATTAAGAGGGACCGGTACTCTTTCTTGGAACTGTGCACACACAAAGACCAGGTTGTCAACTGGATTTTAAGAATTTTTTTCTGTTTCAATGTTAACAAGTTTGATTTTGACTCTGTCCATAGTGGTGTGTACACCTGACATAGAAATACAAAGTTCCGAATCCCAATTCCATGGTATTGTTTATATAACTACTCTTGTATACAGACAAACAGATTAGAAATAGAAATAGATATAGAAATTCTCCCAACAAGTTGAACTGGACACCCTGCCAGGCATACTAATAAATTCTGTTTATACCCATTACTCAGTCAGTATGTGTGTAGATGGTAGTGGGGCTCAACTTATATATCTTCGGTTTTTGGCCAGAATTGTGAATGTTGACTTTGTTTCACCATACTCTTAATTTCTCTCAATTTGCATATATGAACTGTTGACTACATATCCAGGTGAGCTACAGTGCCGTGCACTATTTGTTTTGTCTCTTGCCTTTTTGCACATAAAACATGTCTGCCTGAAGAACTTTATACTCTGCCATCTCTGTTAAACCATTGACCATTTCATTGTGTAGTGTTGATTTTCACATGTTACACTGATGTAATGTAATTTAGATGTTTCAAGGAACTACTGTATTATTGATTTCATTAATTATTTTGGCTTTTTTCCAGTTTTGCATGTGGAGAGAACTGGCATGATCCAGTGAAGTGCAAATGGCTCAGAAAGTGGATCAAGAAATGTGATGATGATAGTGAAACCTCCAACTGGATAGCCGCAAATACAAAGGTTGGATGTTCTGACTGAACTCGTCATTGTCGTACAATTGAAATGTGCCTTGTAATAACACAATGGCATAGTAATCATTATAAAGAACTACAGCTCTTGTTTTCACCCACACACATAGACCAGATTGAACTATTTTCAGGACTCTTCTTGATTATGCAAAATTTTACCTTATCCTGTCTCATACTTATTGCTTATCTCATGTCATTTCTTAAAGATAGTGGAAACTTCCTGAACCGTGTTCCCAGAGAACACAAAAAAGCTCACTAAAACACCCCCCTGAGAAGTGTAGTTTCTGTGCTCCATTAGAAGAAGATTTTTGCACAATACATCTTTCTTGTGCAGAGGAAGGACATTGACCGGAAGAGACGAGAATCATCACAATCCATGGACATAAACCTCCAACAACCTTCACAGACCCAGACATGTACGCAGCCCAGTGGTTAAAGTGTTCGCTTGTCATGCCGAAGACCCGGGTTTGATTCCCCACATGATTACAATGTGTGAAGCCTATTTCTGGTGTCACCCGCCATGATATCCCTGGAATATTGCTGAAAGCTGCGTTAAACCATACTCACTCACTTAACTCCAGGGTTTTACTCACCAATCTTCTTGGTCCCCAAAAAGAACTCAAAAGAAATTTTTGGTCTAATCTACAATATGAAGGAGCAACCAATGGTGAAATACCTTCAATGGTGGACAGTCAAACGACTGTGGAGGAACCTTTTTGAACAAGCCGGATTACAACCAACACCCATTCATGGACGTCTCACTACAAGGATGGGGGGCATACCCCAACTCAGAAATAACCTCAGGAATATGGTCAGCAGAAGAAAAGTTTCATCATCAACATCAACCACCTAGAGTTCGAGGCAGTAATCCCAGCAATAGCCCATTGGGTGCCACATTTGAGATAAAAGTTTCTGATGATAAGAATAAACAACTCAACTTTGGCATTCTACCTAAATCTCCAAGGAATGACAAGATCGGCAACCCTTGTGAAATTATCATTGCAAGTGTACAGTCTCACAGTCAGTCTGAATGAAGGCAAGACACACATTGGAGTATCAAATGTACTGGCAAATGCCCTATCCAGGCCATCCAAACAGAATGGATACTCTGTCTGTAAGCATTCCAACTAGTGATAATGCAAGGAGGTTTCCATCAGTTGGTCTATTTGCAACCAGATTCAACCGGTAGCAACCTTCATCTCACCAGTTCTGGACCCTCAGTCTTGGGCCACCAATGCACTGGAGATATCTTGGGAGGGACTCCAGGCTTCTGCATTCCCACCACCCTCATTGATACCTCTGATATTACAGAAGATCATGTGCCCGAAGAACCTTCAACTGCTCGTCGCAATAACAGAGAAACCAATCCTAAAGCTCCCAAAACTTGTCAATTCTTCTTCCTCACACAATGCAAATTCATCCAAGACCAGATCTCTATGAGCTTCATGCATGAAACATTATGATCAGACTTACTAGAAGATGATATTCAACCAGAGCAGCTAAGGCAGTTTCCTTAGCCCTTCGCAGATCCACTAGGAATTTATATGATGATAAACGGAAACGTTTTGACCAGTTTGCAACATCTAAGGGATTTCACAAGTAGCAGAGTTCTTATGCCACCAGAGATTCACAAGAAACCTTAAAGGTTCAACACTGGGCACATACTTAGCAGCTAGCAGCTCTGTCGTTACCATGTGCAACGGAATCAAACTTACCAATGTTCCAGAGTTGATAGGTTTGTTAAGATCTTTCAGACTTGAAGATCAACAGAAGAAATTTCGAGCCCAGGCATGGGACCTGAATATAGTGCTCAAACATCTTACCAAGTGATGCCTATGAACCTTTAGAACAAGCTGACTTCGAACACCTGATCTTGTTTTTTCTTGCACTAGCCACGGCTGCCAGAATGTCAGAGATTCATGCGATCAACTTCAGTTGTACTGGACTTGACAACAGTGAACTTTCAGTGGTTCATCTTGGTCTAAGATGGGATTTTATCGCCTAGAATCAGCTGCCAGAACAACCAGACAGACATTTCCATGTTCCACCACTCTCATCCATCCTTGGATCAGGGGATAATGAGGTTTTGTAGTTATTCCTAGTCAGAGCATGATGCATTTACCTCTATACAACAAGCTCCAAAAGACAAAAATTATTAAGACTATTTATTCCTTTATCAAGGAATACTTCAGATGAAGTTTCTAGAACTTCTCTTTCTGGATGATTTCTCTTTCTTTCCAATGATTATGGAGGTTGTTTTTGGATATGGGCACTGTCTTTCGCAAATCAATATCTTTGAGATAACAGTATGAAGGATGTCACTGGACTTCATCAAATTGAACCATTAGTAGTCTCACAACAACTGACAATGCCTACTTGAAGATAGACCTTGCTTCACTCACCCATTGTCCCCTGTTTTACTTTGGACTTCAGAACATGAGCAACACTATGATTGTGTGAAGTATGCGGGAAAGACCTTTCATTAGTGCACTTTACAAATCCACAAAATCTAAAAGAGTTACTGCTGTCTTTCACCAAGACATGAGGTGGTACCCTGCAAGGATATAAGAAGTACTAAGAAGATTATCACATTCTCATGGGGTTATATGAACAGGTCACTGTCTGAATCACGCACTTGGTGGAACCCACCACTTTCTGTGGGATTCATGCAATAAGTTTGAGTCAGAATAAGGTAAAATATGTATTTTGTATTGATTTTTGTATATGATGTCCATAAAAGGGTTAAACGCTGCTGAGTCCCAGAAGTCATTCATGTCTTTTGTAATAATGTTTGTTTTGTCTGCAGGAATGTCCGAAATGTCATGTGACAATTGAGAAGGACGGTGGCTGCAACCACATGGTTTGTAAGAATCAAAACTGCAAAGCTGACTTCTGCTGGGTGTGCCTTGGGCCTTGGGAGCCTCATGGATCTTCGTGGTATGGATACTATGTCTGTTGCTATCTGGCCTATTAGTGGTCTTCAACTTGCTATGTGGAGTTATGTACCTTAGTCATGCCAGATTCACATAATGCTGACATTCTAGAACTGCCCAGTGATTGTGATTGTTAGTTTATCACGACCATGCTGGTGCTTGTGTGTAAATATGTACAACCTTGATCGCTTGTGTCTCTCCTGACACACCTGTTCACACACTGGGTACACCAAGTAATGCACAGAACTCTCATTCACTTGTGCTCATATGCCAAGTTATATATTTCAACTTCATAGTGCTTCTTTGCAGTCCAGGATGATTGTCTTGGAGCATTTGGGGGTTTACTAGGTTGTCGTTTTGAAATATGAAAATAACTATGTGTTGCCAAATATATGTTATTATTAAGAAATTACTCTTTTATTTGTACTAAGGGTTGCTTTGAAAATATTAAAGGCAGTAAAAATAATTATTGACCTTTAATGATAATTTAATAAGTGTTAATTTCATATCAAAGATATTTAATAAGAATTCAGTTAGGTAGCAGAGAACAGTTGTATTTCTTCATGACACTCTTCAAATTAATTCTTTCAAAGTGTTACACTATATTGTAAAGAATGTTAATAGAGTTTACAAGTTTTGATGGAACTTTACTTTTATGATAGACCTTGAGATGTTCCTTATCTTTGCTGGAACTTTCAAATAGTCTCCGAGACAGTATATCTTGATGAAACACATGTTCCTAGTTTGCTGATGTTGATGTTTGTTTCCAGGTACAACTGTAACAGATACAATGAAGATGAAGCAAAAAAAGCCAGAGATGCACAGGAGGTGGGTTGCTAACTAGTGATCACAGGTCCCCAGAACCTTTCCTTGTTGTTAGACTAGACACCAACTGACATGAGGATTACCCTCCTCCTTGTTGTAAGACTAGGAGCCTACTGACATGAGGATTACCCTCCTCCTTGTTGTAAGACTAGGAGCCTACTGACATGAGGGATACCATCCTCCTTGTTGTAAGACTAGGTGCCTACTGACTTGAGGATTACCATCCTCCTTGTTGTAAGACTAGGAGCCTACTGACATGAGGATTACCCCTCCTTGTTGGAAGACTAGGAGCCTACTGACATGAGGATTACCCCTCCTTGTTGTAAGACTAGGAGCCTACTGACATGAGGATAACCCTTCCTTGTTGTAATACGAGGAGCCTACTGACATGAGGGATACCCTCCACCTTGTTGTAAGTCTAGGAGCCTACTGACATGAGGGATACCCTCCTCCTTGTTGTAAGACTAGGAGCCTACTGACATGAGGGATACCCTCCTCCTTGTTGTAAGACTAGGAGCCTACTGACATGAGGATTACCCTCCTCCTTGTTGTAAGACTAGGAGCTTACTGACATGAGGGATACCCTCCACCTTGTTTTAAAGCTAGGAGCCTAGTGACATGAGGATTACCCTTCCTTGTTGTAAGACTAGGAGCCTACTGACATGAGGGATACCCTCCACCTTGTTGTAAGACTAGGAGCCTAGTGACATGAGGATTACCCTTCCTTGTTGTAAGTCTAGGAGCTTACTGACATGAGGGATACCCTCTACCTTGTTGTAAGTCTAGGAGCCTACTGACATGAGGGATACCCTCCACCTTGTTGTAAGACTAGGAGCCTACTGACATGAGGGATACCCTCCTTGTTGTAAGTCTAGGAGCCTACTGACATGAGGGATACCCTCCTCCTTGTTGTAAGACTAGGAGCCTACTGACATGAGGGATACCCTCCACCTTGTTGTAAGTCTAGGAGCCTACTGACATGAGGGATACCCTCTACCTTGTTGTAAGTCTAGGAGCCTACTGACATGAGGGATACCCTCCACCTTGTTGTAAGACTAGGAGCCTACTGACATGAGGGATACCCTCCTCCTTGTTGTAAGTCTAGGAGCCTACTGACATGAGGGATACCCTCTACCTTGTTGTAAGTCTAGGAGCCTACTGACATGAGGGATACCCTCCACCTTGTTGTAAGACTAGGAGCCTACTGACATGAGGGATACCCTCCTCCTTGTTGTAAGTCTAGGAGCCTACTGACATGAGGGATACCCTCCTCCTTGTTGTAAGACTAGGAGCCTACTGACATGAGGATTACCATCCTCCTTGTTGTAAGACTAGGAGCCTACTGACATGAGGATTACCCCTCCTTGTTGGGAGACTAGGAGCCTACTGACATGAGGATTACCCCTCCTTGTTGTAAGACTAGGAGCCTACTGACATGAGGATAACCCTTCCTTGTTGTAATACGAGGAGCCTACTGACATGAGGGATACCCTCCACCTTGTTGTAAGTCTAGGAGCCTACTGACATGAGGGATACCCTTCTCCTTGTTGTAAGTCTAGGAGCCTACTGACATGAGGGATACCCTCCTCCTTGTTGTAAGACTAGGAGCCTACTGACATGAGGGATACCCTCCACCTTGTTTTAAAGCTAGGAGCCTAGTGACATGAGGATTACCCTTCCTTGTTGTAAGACTAGGAGCCTACTGACATGAGGGATACCCTCCACCTTGTTGTAAGACTAGAAGCCTAGTGACATGAGGATTACCCTTCCTTGTTGTAAGACTAGGAGCCTACTGACATGAGGGATACCCTCCTCCTTGTTGTAAGTCTAGGAGCTTACTGACATGAGGGATACCCTCTACTTTGTTGTAAGTCTAGGAGCTTACTGACATGAGGGATACCCTCCACCTTGTTGTAAGACTAGGAGCCTACTGACATGAGGGATACCCTCCTCCTTGTTGTAAGTCTAGGAGCCTACTGACATGAGGGATACCCTCCTCCTTGTTGTAAGACTAGGAGCCTACTGACATGAGGGATACCCTCCACCTTGTTTTAAGACTAGGAGCCTACTGACATGAGGATTACCCTTCCTTGTTGTAAGACTAGGAGCCTACTGACATGAAGGATACCCTCCACCTTGTTTTAAGACTAGGAGCCTACTGACATGAGGATTACCCTTCCTTGTTGTAAGACTAGGAGCCTACTGACATGAGGATTACCCTCCTCCTTGTTGTAAGGCATAGCGCTAAGGTTGTTTTGTACAATGGCACCCAGGAGCCTCCTGACATGAGAGTTTACAATCTGTGACCTCAAAGGATGGCCTCAAAGCCTAACATTCGCCAACTCACTGATACCGGTTTACATATTTAGTCTGTTGTTAACGTTTAAATTGTCAACATCTCCTATGAAACTACCAGACCTATAGACCTGAATCATAGTGTGAATGATCCCAGATATGGTGTCTCTTAAAAATGTGATTTTAAACACTAAAAATATAAATTTTTGCCCATATATTGACTATTTCTGCATTATTGTAAAATTGTGGAATTTACAAAGCTGCAGTTATGTGGTATGCGGAATAACATATAATGCATTTTTTATTTTTGACCAAGCTGCAACATGTGGCCTTCATATATCCCATGAGAGTTGAATTGTATCAACTTTACATATACATGTGAGAATACAACAGTCTTCAATATTTCCCTTTCAAAATACTTAGTTCCTTTGAATTGTTATATTGTATTTCTTCACAGAAGTCTAGAGCAGCACTACAGCGGTACCTGTTCTACTGCAATCGCTACATGAACCATATGCAGAGCCTTAAGTTTGAACACAAGGTTTGTTTGATATAATGATTTATACTGCTGGAAAGTAATCTAAATTGTTATACAAAAACACTCTTTATTTTATTAATTCATCATTATGTGAACTTTTTGACGTGTTAATTTGCATAACTTTATCCTTTTTTCCTAAATTTGATGTTAGATTGCTCCCACTCTTTGCTCATGAACCAGTAATAGGTTGTTGCACATGTTGAGGCTGACATTTTGGTGATCTATCGTAAACACCTTTCACCATGGGTTCACTGAAGAATCCCTCCTGTTTCAAGGGGCATAGTTGTACTAGTCATCTAAGGTGCTGCAAAGTGTTGCAGTTGTGTCCCTCAAGTGTGACAGGATGTGATGATGTGGCTTTTGAATCCAAGATTCACCCTAATATTGATCATTTGCTTTGCGGGTTGTGGAGAACATTATGACTTGCATCATTACTATGCTATATATGTATTACAACAGCTGTATGTTATGAACCCTATTACATTCCTGTAAGACCTTGTTGTGACACGATTCACTGTCACAGCCCATGTTTATCACCTGTAACACCATGTTATGACACTATTCACTGTCACAGCCCATGTTTATCACCTGTAACACCATGTTATGACACTATTCACTGTCACAGCCCATGTTTATCACCTGTAACACCATGTTATGACACTATTCACTATCACAGCCCTCCTGTAAGACCTTTTTGTAACACTATTCACTCACACATCCCTCCTGTTAATGCTGTAAGACCATGTTATAACACTATTCACTCACACATCCCTCCTGTTAATGCTGTAAGACCATGTTATAACACTATTCACTCACACATCCCTCCTGTTACAGCCGTAACACCATGTTATAACACTATTCACTCACGCAACCCTCCTGTAAGACCTTGTTAATAACACTGTTCACTCACACATCCCTCCTGTTGCACCTGTAAGACCTTTTTATGACACTATTTACTCACACAACCCTCCTGTAAGACCTTGTTAATAACACTGTTCACTCACACATCCCTCCTGTTACAGCTTTAACACCATGTTATAACACTATTCACTCACACAACCCTCCTGTAAGACCTTGTTTTAACACTATTCACCTACACATCCCTCCTGTTACAGCTGTAACACCATGTTATAACACTATTCACTCACGCAACCCTCCTGTAAGACCTTGTTAATAACACTGTTCACTCACACATCCCTCCTGTAAGACCTTGTTAATAACACTATTCACTCACACATCCTTCCTGTTGCAGCTGTAAGACCGACCATGTTATAATACTATTCACTTACACATCCATCCTGTTGCAGCTGTACGCCTCTGTGCGAGCCAAGATGGAGGAGATGCAGCAACAGAACATGTCCTGGATCGAGGTGCAGTTTCTGAAGAAGGCTGTCGATGTCCTGTGCCAGTGCCGTCAGACACTCATGTACACATACGTCTTCGCCTTCTACCTAAGAAAGAACAACCAGTCCATCATCTTTGAGGTGTGTTGCAAGTTATACATGAAAACCAAGGCGTCCAATAATTGTAATTGTAAAATCCTGATGGTAAACATTAAAATATTTAGGGGTTGCAGAAAATTACGAAGACCTGACCTGACTACCTCTGCCACATCATTCTTCCTTAGAGCTGACAGGCGACAGAAGCTGTGATGCAGGGATGGTTGGGTAGGCATATAGCGTGTGAGATAGGATAAGTATATAAATATACAATGTAATGTAAAATTTACAAATTGTTAAATTTATCCTATTTTACATCTGATTATTTGATTGCCAGGACAACCAGCGAGATCTGGAGACAGCAACAGAGCAGCTGTCCGAGTATCTGGAGAGAGATATTTCCTCAGATGTTCTGCATGACATCAAACAGAAGGTCCAGGACAAATACAGGTACATTGTGACTTGGGTTAGGTATGGGGAGAATACAGGTTACAGTAATGTAGAGTGGGGTTTGGTATGGGAAGAATACAGGTGACAGTGACTTAGAGTGGGGTTAGGTATGGGGAGAATACAGGTTACAGTAATGTAGTGTGGGGTTAGGTATTGGAAGAATACATGTGACAGTCATTTAGAGTGGGGTTAGGTATGGGGAGAATACAGGTGAAATTGATATAGAGTGGGGTAAGGTATTGGGAGAATACAGGTGACAGTGGTATAGAGTGGGGTTAGGTATTGGAAGACTACAGGTGACAGTGATATAGAGTCGGGTGAGGTAATGGGGAGAATACAGGTGACAGTGACATAGAGTGGGATAAGGTATTGGAAGACTACAGGTGACAGTGATATAGAGTGGGGTTAGGTGTGGGGAGAATACAGGTGACAGTGATATAGAGTGGGGTTAGGTGTGGGGAGAATACAGGTGACAGTGATATAGAGTGGGGTTAGGTATTGGAGGAATACAGGTGACAGTAATGTAGAGTGGGGTTAGGTGTGGGGAGAATACAGGTGACAGTAATATAGAGTGGGGTTAGGTGTGGGGAGAATACAGGTGACAGTGATATAGAGTGGGGTTAGGTATTGGAGGAATACAGGTGACAGTGACTTAGAGTGGGGTTAGGTATGGGAAGAATAAAGGTTACAGTAATGTAGAGTGGGGTTAGGTGTGGGGAGAATACAGGTGACAGTAATGTAGAGTGGGGTAAGGTATTGGGAGAATACAGGTGACAGTAATGTAGAACGGGGTTAGGTGTGGGGAGAATACAGGTTACAGTAATGTAGAGTGGGGTAAGGTGTTGGGAGAATACAGGTGACAGTAATGTAGAGTGGGGTTAAGCATCGGGAGAATACAGGTGACAGTAATGTAGAGCGGGGTTAAGCATCGGGAGAATACAGGTGACAGTGATGTAGAGCGGGGTTAAGCATGGGGAGAATACAGGTGACAGTGATGTAGAGTGGGATTAGGTGTGGGGAGAATACAGGTGACAGTAATGTAGAGTGGGGTTAGGTGTGGGGAGAATACAGGTGACAGTGATGTAGAGTGGGGTTAGGTGTGGGGAGAATACAGGTGTCAGTAATGTAGAGCGGGGTTAGGTGTGGGGAGAATACAGGTTACAGTAATGTAGAATGGGGTAAGGTGTTGGGAGAATACAGGTGACAGTAATGTAGAGCGGGGTTAAGCATCGGGAGAATACAGGTGACAGTAAAGTAGAGTGGGGTTAGGTGTGGGGAGAATACAGGTGACAGTGATGTAGAGCGGGGTTAGGTGTGGGGAGAATACAGGTGTCAGTAATGTAGAGCGGGGTTAGGTGTGGGGAGAATACAGGTTACAGTAATGTAGAGTGGGGTAAGGTGTTGGGAGAATACAGGTGACAGTAATGTAGTGTGGGGTTAAGCATGGGGAGAATACAGGTGACAGTAATGTAGAGTGGGGTTAGGTGTGGGAAGAATACAGGTGACAGTGATATAGAGTGGGGTTAGGTGTGGGGAGAATACAGGTTACAGTAATGTAGTGTGGGGTTAGGTATTGGAAGAATACATGTGACAGTCATTTAGAGTGGGGTTAGGTATGGGGAGAATACAGGTGAAATTGATATAGAGTGGGGTAAGGTATTGGGAGAATACAGGTGACAGTGGTATAGAGTGGGGTTAGGTATTGGAAGACTACAGGTGACAGTGATATAGAGTCGGGTGAGGTAATGGGGAGAATACAGGTGACAGTGATATAGAGTGGGATAAGGTATTGGAAGACTACAGGTGACAGTGATATAGAGTGGGGTTAGGTGTGGGGAGAATACAGGTGACAGTGATATAGAGTGGGGTTAGGTATGGGGAGAATACAGGTGACAGTGATATAGAGTGGGGTTAGGTATTGGAGGAATACAGGTGACAGTAATGTAGAGTGGGGTTAGGTGTGGGGAGAATACAGGTGACAGTAATATAGAGTGGGGTTAGGTGTGGGGAGAATACAGGTGACAGTGATATAGAGTGGGGTTAGGTATTGGAGGAATACAGGTGACAGTGACTTAGAGTGGGGTTAGGTATGGGAAGAATAAAGGTTACAGTAATGTAGAGTGGGGTTAGGTGTGGGGAGAATACAGGTGACAGTAATGTAGAACGGGGTTAAGCATCGGGAGAATACAGGTGACAGTAATGTAGAGCGGGGTTAAGCATCGGGAGAATACAGGTGACAGTGATGTAGAGCGGGGTTAAGCATGGGGAGAATACAGGTGACAGTGATGTAGAGTGGGATTAGGTGTGGGGAGAATACAGGTGACAGTAATGTAGAGTGGGGTTAGGTGTGGGGAGAATACAGGTGACAGTGATGTAGAGTGGGGTTAGGTGTGGGGAGAATACAGGTGTCAGTAATGTAGAGCGGGGTTAGGTGTGGGGAGAATACAGGTTACAGTAATGTAGAGTGGGGTAAGGTGTTGGGAGAATACAGGTGACAGTAATGTAGAGCGGGGTTAAGCATCGGGAGAATACAGGTGACAGTAAAGTAGAGTGGGGTTAGGTGTGGGGAGAATACAGGTGACAGTGATGTAGAGCGGGGTTAGGTGTGGGGAGAATACAGGTTACAGTAATGTAGAGCGGGGTTAGGTGTGGGGAGAATACAGGTTACAGTAATGTAGAGTGGGGTAAGGTGTTGGGAGAATACAGGTGACAGTAATGTAGTGTGGGGTTAAGCATTGGGAGAATACAGGTGACAGTAATGTAGAGTGGGGTTAGGTGTGGGAAGAATACAGGTGACAGTGATATAGAGTGGGGTTAGGTGTGGGGAGAATACAGGTGACAGTAATGTAGAGCAGGGATAAGCATGGGGAGAATACAGGTGACAGTAATGTAGAGCGGGGTTAGGTGTGGGGAGAATACAGGTGACAGTAATGTAGAGTGGGGGTTAGGTGTGGGGAGAATACAGGTGACAGTAATGTAGAGTGGGGTTAAGCATGGGGAGAATACAGGTGACAGTAATGTAGAGTGGGGTTAGGTGTTGGGAGAATACAGGTGACAGTGATGTAGAGCGGGGTTAAGCATGGGGAGAATACAGGTGACAGTAATGTAGAGCTGGGTTAAGCATGGGGAGAATACAGGTGACAGTAATGTAGAGTGGGGTAAGGTGTGGGAAGAATACAGGTGACAGTAATGTAGAGTGGGGTTAGGTGTGGGGAGAATACAGGTGACAGTAATGTAGAGTTGGGATAGGTGTGGGGAGAAAACAGGTGACAGTAATGTAGAGCGGGGTTAAGCATGGGGAGAATACAGGTGACAGTAATGTAGAGCGGGGTTAAGCATGGGGAGAATACAGGTGACAGTAATGTAGAGTTGGGTTAGGTGTGGGAAGAATACAGGTGACAGTAATGTAGAGTGGGGTTAGGTGTGGGGAAAATACAGGTGACAGTAATGTAGAGTGGGGTTAGGTGTGGGGAGAATACAGGTGACAGTAATGTAGAGTGGGGTTAGGTGTGGGAAGAATACAGGTGACAGTAATGTAGAGTGGGGTTAGGTGTGGGGAGAATACGGGTTACAGTAATGTAGAGTGGGGTTAGGTATGGGGAGAATACAGGTTACAGTAATGTAGAGTGGGGTTAGGTGTGGGGAGAATACATGTGACAGTGATGTAGAGCGGGGTTAGGTGTGGGGAGAATACAGGTTACAGTAACGTAGAGTGGGGTTAGGTGTGGGGAGAATACAGGTTATGGTAATGTAGAGTGGGGTTATATGTGGGGAGAATACAGGTGACAGTAATGTAGAGTGGGGTTAGGTATGGGGAGAATACAGGTTACAGTAAAGTAGAGTGGGGTTAGGTGTGGGGAGAATACAGGTGACAGTAATGTAGAGTGGGGTTAGGTGTGGGGAGAATACAGGTGACAGTAATGTAGAGTGGGGTTAGGTATGGGGAGAATACGGGTTACAGTAATGTAGAGTGGGGTTAGGTGTGGGGAGAATACAGGTGACAGTAATGTAGAGAGGGGTTAGGTGTGGGGAGAATACGGGTTACAGTAATGTAGTGTGGTGTTAGGTGTGGGGAGAATACAGGTGACAGTGATGTAGAGCGGGGTTAGGTGTGGGGAGAATACAGGTTACAGTAACGTAGAGTGGGGTTAGGTGTGGGGAGAATACAGGTTATGGTAATGTAGAGTGGGGTTATATGTGGGGAGAATACAGGTGACAGTAATGTAGAGTGGGGTTAGGTATGGGGAGAATACAGGTTACAGTAAAGTAGAGTGGGGTTAGGTGTGGGGAGAATACAGGTGACAGTAATGTAGAGTGGGGTTAGGTGTGGGGAGAATACAGGTGACAGTAATGTAGAGTGGGGTTAGGTATGGGGAGAATACGGGTTACAGTAATGTAGAGTGGGGTTAGGTGTGGGGAGAATACAGGTGACAGTAATGTAGAGAGGGGTTAGGTGTGGGGAGAATACGGGTTACAGTAATGTAGTGTGGTGTTAGGTGTGGGGAGAATATAGGTGACAGTAATAGGAGTAGGAGTGGTCTAATACTGGTAAGTGTAAGTTAGTGTAATGCAGGGTAATCATTTGATGAGGAAAGGTTTTCTTATCCCACAACAAGATTGTCTTGAAAATAAAGATGTCAAATGAATACACATACAAGATCTATGGAGGAACTCCAGTAATGCACATTAAGACCTAATCAGAAAGTGTGTTATTTCAGTGATGTGATACCATGTAGCAGCAGCAATTAAGGATAGACACATCAAAGCTGACAATTACCTTTGTGCATTACAGATATTGTGAGAGCCGTCGAAAGGTGCTTTTGGACCATGTACATGAAGGCTATGAGAAAGATCTATGGGAATACATCGAAGACTTCCCGTGAAGTCTCTGCTGTGCTCTCAACATTTGGACAACCTTTACCCTGTTTTAACCAATCAAGAACATGTTTGAAAATTCTGAGCTTCACATTTGAGTTGTTGTTTCACAGGCAGTATGCTATTAAACCTGTCAACCCTCCCTTTTCCTCAGGGAGATTTTGGCCATTTGGAATGTTCCTGCCAAATTCTGAGAGAGTTCAGAAAAATTGTTTGATTAAAACACACATTTGGTGTTTTGATATGCTTCGTTATTTTTCAGTGGATGGAGCTACATATCTCCATGGTGATGACGATGTGGGGGTTGACAGCTGTCACTCAGTTTTCATCAATACCTGTTTGATAGCTATTATATATTGAAAACAACCAAAACGTTTTTTCCTATTTCATGCAAATCCATCCAATAGAAGAATATATTTAAGACCTGAATTCCTGATTAATGACTATTATAGGGAGATTATACAGTTGCATATTTTGGGGGGGAGTTATTATTTGAATTTCAAGACAACACCAGATAAAGTAGGTAGTCCATTTGGCATTGTTAAAGTTCAATTAAAATTATTTGGGTTTTGTGAGAGATTACACTGAACGGATGAGAGTGTATTTAGTTGGTACATATCCAAGGAAATCTTTCAAATGCTATAATTATTGCACACACATACTTGTAAGATACAACATGGTTGCTGCTTGTGTGGCACAGTAGGAGGTGCTATCCTTGTGTTTGATTCTGTCAACTTCTGGAAAGGAAAAATTTACAATTTGCAGATCATGGTAGCTTCATTGGTCAGTAAATGTGAAGGTGTCAACTTCGATGCAAATTATCAAATAACAACTAAAATACATTATATGTATTCATAGTGTAGGCTTTTTCAAGACAATGTACATAATATTACAGTATATAGGTGTTTTGCCCTAACAGGGATTTATTGTGTATACTTAGGCTGTATGGATATTGAATATATATAGACTCCAAGCTCAAATACAAGTTGAGAATGGCACTTTTTCTCAACTGAATAACCATCTTGAGTTTGTCTAGAGGAATGAATGTTGGTGAATGTGTGCTATTTGAGGCATAATTAGCCATATATCATCCCTGGCTTGTTCACATAATGATTGTCTGGGTGGCATCTACTGAATGCTTGATGCTGCATTGTCTACTCGGTGATATCAGGCTATTGAAGGTCTTACTTGATCTGTTGAGAACAATCTGAAATTATTTTCATATAATTATTGAAGTTTTTAGTGATATTTGATTACATTGTACCTGCTGATGTATGTAAAATATCTGAAAATGAAGTGTATTATGTTCATGCAGTAAGAAATGGAATGGTATTCGTTGTTTCTGGAGTGACAATGCAGCATTTAAAGTATCACATAGTATTTGCATAGTCATTCAACAAGCTGTTTCCTTATTTATTTTAATCTATTCATTCCTGTGTAAAAATGATTAATGAGAGTATTATGAGCTGTGAGTACCTGTAACTATGCAGAGTGAATTGTTACCAAGTGTGATGTATGACGAATGGTGTGTGTGTGTGTGTGTGTGTGTGTGAGAGCTTCAGTTGTGGTCTGTCTAGTTAATGTACGACATGGTCAGCATGATATATGTTATCACTAGTTGATGTGTCCGTGAATGTTCACCCAGTCTTCACCGTTTTACACGAGTCAGCAGCTTTATTTAGCATTGGCACTTTCTAGTTACAGTGCTATCATGTTCTGTGTTTGTCATGCTTCACAAATACGGTGATTTGTGTTATATATTCGAATAACTTCCTCCCAGTAACATCAGTGATATCAGTCAGCACTGGCCACTTTGTCTTATGTTGAAGGGGCCTATGGGCTTGTAGTTTTGTAGTTTCTACAGGGTCTATTCAATGTTACTACTATTAACATAAACGGCTTATCATTTCATGTTAGTTTCTTCCCCTGGATGAGGTAATTTTGATTTAGAAATGAATTTCAAATTAACGCCATAGAACATTGAGAATGGAACAGAAACTGCTATTATTGAATATATGACCAAGGTGTGATGGTTATTGTTGAATTTATGCTGAATGGCTGATTTACATATGTGTATTCAACGTATGTTGTGTGAATATAATTCGGTGAGAAGGAAAATAGCATGCTTTATGTGTATGGTGCTGACAGCCAAGAAATGTTTAAAGTGAATGGACTTTTGTGAAATGATATATTTTGGTGTGCAAGAATCACCACAATTCAAGTCAGACAGGTTTGTATCCATTGTTATCCATTAGAGACTGATCTACCACCAAACCATAGTACCTTGTTCTCTACCACCATGCAAAGATGTTTCATTTTAGTTGACATAATCCAGCACTTTTTCTATGTTGGTTGTGTGTGACAGACATCCACGCCATCATATTTGCCCCCTACGTGTCTTGATGGTCGTGGTGTGCATTCGTTAAAGAAAACCAGTTATTGTTACTTTTTTGTATGTCTTCAGATGACCGTTTTATTTATTGTCACAAGATTTGTTGACAGAATTTGGCAATCAATTTTTTTCCATTTTTAAGCTTTCCCTTTAGATCATGTTAGATAAATGATATTGTTATGGTAAACCGAGAAAGATCTTTTTACAACTGTCAGAAGCCAGATTTATTTCCAGAATGCCACTCCACAAGTGTGCTGGATGTGTTTCTGTTGTGCTAGGTTGACCCACTGAGAACAGTAGTGTTGTGCACTAGGCTATTCTGTCTTCCATTACAGTAACCTGTATACCTCCATTAGGAACCTCTATCATTAGCTTCGTACTTTGGTTCATACCTGTATTCCACTATTCTTCTAATGCAGTGGTGCTTACTGACTTTGATGAAGTAGAATTTGCAATTTGATATGGTAATTTGATGTTGGACGCTATTCACCTCCTGTTAGTAAGTCCTTCTATGTAGAAAGTTGAAAGTATGAATGTACATGTGCCATATAACTGTTTAGCTCACCTGGCCTGTTGGGACACATGGGCTCATTGCCTGACATGTCTATGGCTATCATATACTACTCAAAAGCAGTTAAGGACCACCAGATTCTTTTATATTACTATAGTTAATCTGTCATGCCATGGTAGATTAACTATAGTAATATGAAAGAAGTTAGTGATCCTTAGTTTCTTTTGAGTAGTATATATTGGACTACTTCTCTGAAACTGGGTTCTTATTATACCTGCTGGGAATATATAAATACCAATATTTCATTTCTGTTGCTAGGACATCTTAATCTAACTTCTGTTTATCGACTTCACCTGTTATGTACTTCTAGCTTTAAAGGCTGTTTGATGCCAGATTGTTGGACTGATTAGAATAGACAAGACCCAAGTGTTTTCTACAAAAGCATTATCTGATTGATTGACAGTTCAATCACTGATCTATGCTGGCATTTTGACATGACACGAAACTAAAGCAGCGGAGCTACAGAGATCTTGGCTAGGTATATTTTGTACTCAAGGTACTGCAGTGTTCCTCAGTTGGCTGTTTTGTCAAGATTATTTTACAGCGTGTTTGAGTAATTGAGAACAAATGCCAGTACATTATCAGGATAGGAAGGTGCTGCCACTGAAAGCGGTGTGGTCAAATGGAAGAAGTTGTTCACGTGGCAACACTTATACCATGTGTAAGTCCCAACGATGTACTGTCACGCATCCTTGACCTTACTTTATCGCAGTATGTGATGCCCGTGCTGTCATACAGTTACAGGCTGTCATATAGGCTGCAGGTGACAGTCTCTTTGCCCAGTCTGTTGCTGGTCTTGCTGAGAAGGTGCAATTGCTAATGATCTCTTTTGAAAGGATAGGTATTGTAAAAGCTGTTCCAGACAAGGGAACGCGAAAGTCATAAACAAATGAGTCTAAATGAACCCACTCCATGTTAAATAGTGGAATGGACATGCCTTCACATAACTTTCTTTGTAATTTAATTCTTCCTTATATATATGACTAAACTTTGTGATAGTGGGAAATGTGGAGACTAGTTAGTAGTATTGTTAGGAGGGTGGTTGGAATAGGAGGGATGGGACACAGGGACGAAGGAGCCCATGATACCAGTATTACTACATTGTAGGGCTCTGTTGGTCAGGCTGGCTGACTTGGTTGATGCATGTCATCGTATCCCAATTGCGTAGATCGATGCTCGTGTATCACTGGATTGTGTTGTCCTGACTTGATTATTCACAGACCTCCGCCATATAGCTGGATTATTGCTGAGTGCAGTGTTAAACAACAAACAAACAAACAAAACATTGTGTGGCAACACCATCCACTGGCACAATAACCTTGACACTTATTTTGAAACTTGTTACATGAAGACAAAAATGTTCAACCAACTTTTAGGATGTTTTTGTCAATGTGTAAGTTAGAATTACTAAGGTGAACTAAATTACTAAAGTGAATATTAGTTTTGTATTAAGACAAAATGATTTACAATAATTTGATGATGGATACAGCTTTGAAGAAGTAGTTTAACTATTATTTTTCAAGAATATGTTTTTGCAGGTGTGATGGTGATTCATGGGAATTGATACTCAATAGTTTTGGATTTAGCACTGGTGTCATTGCCTCTTTATTAGTAACATCAGATGAGAATGTTGTATTGCAACTGAAAACAGTTTCTGTATTAACACTTTGGCTGACAGTAATAATGCAAAGATGTCAAAAGTAGTATATTCAAACTGCTATCTCAAACTTGTACAGGGAAATGGAGGATTTTCATTCTAGGGCCCAGTTTTACGGAACAATTACTGTGCTAAAATGATTGTAGGTCTAAATAAGAGCATGGATGTTTCGACCATCTTAGCACAAAGATAACTTTGTGGAACTTGCTTTGGATTTGTGTTTGCTTGCTGAAAAGTGATTATGGCAGAATTATGCAATTTTGTTGGCTCACCTACTCATTAAGTTTCCTTTGTGGTTGCAGTATAAATAGACCCTCCCTCATCCTCTAGAAAAGGAGAAACAGGATTATGGCTGCCACTTGCCAATGACAATGTTATGGATATTGACCTGCTTACATATTTTCCATGATGATTTGAATAAAAGACAACACTCAATCATGTTATTTGTTTTTAAGCACTGCAGACAAAGCCTTCACTGCCAATTTCCTTTACCACTGGTCAGATGTCACTGGATTGCTCAACCTTGGAACCTATGTTTGAATATTTGACTATCTGTGAAAAGGTTTGCATAATTCAGATACCAATACTGCTGTGTCCTAACTTACCAGTTGAATGGATGTGAGTTCCAGTCCTAAAGGGAGCGCACCTCTACGATGGCATTTATTTGTATCAAATCCAGAACATGCTGTGTTGTCTGATCCCATGCCAAGTTACGATGTAGAACCAAGCCATGCACTTCATCCTGTCCACATGGACATTCTGATGAATCCCGTTCACAATGCTACATCTTGTTTACTGTGAGTGTCTTGTTCTAAGCTGTGTTTGCATGTTGAACGTGACACCTGGTGGTTCATCCCCCTGCCCAAGTTAGCAATGTTCACATACTTCTCTGTGGGTTGATTGTACAGGTCTGGTATTTTATATGTGTTTTTTTTTTCAATTCAAAAGATATGTTGTCAAACCATACTTACATTACATTGCATGTAATGTGTATAATATATAAATCTCAAGAATAAAGTTGTCAGAAAAGTGCAGTTTGAGGTTTATCTTATTTTTTGATGCACATGATACTGAATGCATATACAGGGGACAGTCAAATACAACATGATACACTAATGACTGGAGCAAGAGGATTTGATTATATATAATTCTGCCATTAAATTCAGTATTCCCTGGAATAGGTTGTTGCTGGCCAAACTCAAACGCTCATTAAATATCTGGAATTAAGGCTGTATGTCCCCAAACTAGATGCATATTAGTAATTATTCATCAGTAAACCACTCTTACAATAGAAGTGAGTGAGTGAGTTAGGTTTAACGCTGCTTTTAACAGTAGTCCAGTTGTATCACGGTGTGTCGGCTTAATGTGGGAGGAAAGCCCGAAGTAACCCAGGTCTCCGACGTCTACCACTTTGGCGAAACCCACGAGCACGGGTATGGTGCTGACAAACTCAGAAACATAATCGGGATGAACTGGGATTCGAACCTACAATCATAGGTTTCTGGCGTGTTCGAAATATTGTTGCATATTCAAAAGGAAATGTTTTTTTACGTCTAATATATATACTGAACAACAAAAGTTCCTGTGACATTGAATAAGATTTAATGCAAAGTTATATTTTTTACCAAATCTGAAACAATTTCGGTTTGCAACAGATAAAAGACTCCTGTAGGTGTTCAAATGGTTTAATTTGCCATACTGACTTCAGAAAATACGTGATTTCATAAAAAAACATGAACATGCCAATATGTCAATTTACAAATCAATAGGGTGTGTGTCCACCTTTGGTTGCGATACAAGCAACATATCTTCGTCTCATGGAATGGACCAGGCGTCGCACAAAGTCTTGTGGGATATCTGTCCATATCTGCTGGAGCATGTTTCGTAGTTCCTGGAGTGTCTGTGGAACACGTGGTTGACGTCGAAGGCGCCGATCCATCTCATCCCACATGTGCTCGATTGGTGAGAGATCAGGGGAACAAGCCGGCCAGGGGATGACATTCACGCTGTTTTGTTGAAGAGAATCCTGAACAAGTCGAGCAATATGAGGCCGGGCGTTGTCATGTTGAAAGGTAATGCCTGGGCTATGACGACGTAAAAACGGTAGAACAACAGGGCTGTCGCGGTAGCGCTGTCCATTGAGATTTCCCTCTACCACTATCAAACGGGTCCTCTGTCTTGCTGTAATCCCACCCCATACCATAACGCTGGCGCCCCCAAACCGTTCTTCTTCCATGACACAATGATTGACGTAACGTTCACCTCGACGTCGGTACACACGAATCCGTCCATCGCTGTGGCTGAGGTGAAAACGAGACTCGTCAGTGAGTAGAACTTGTCCCCACTGCATGGCCGTCCAGCGTAGACGCCGTCTGTACACTGTAGACGTGCTTGACGGTGGTTTCCTGTCAAAATGGGACGTCTGGCCGGTCTTCTGGTGACAATCCCTGCACATCTGAGGCGACGACGTACGGTTTGTGAAGATATTCGTCGAAGGCCAGGGATGTTTCCTGCAGTCACTGTTGCTGGCTGGAATTGATATCGTGGGTGTGTTGTTCGAATCCAGTTGTCTTGTCGATTATTGGTTACGCGTGGCCTGCCACTCCGAGGATGGTCTCTGACTGCATTCGTCTGTTGCCAACGTTGCCATAAACACCAAATGGTGTTTCTGTGGACGTTAAATTGTCTTGCAACATCAGGACCGCCTCCGTGGTCTTGTGGTAGAGCGTCCGCCCGGAGAGCGGAAGGTCCAGGGTTCGATCCCGGGCCGCGTCATACAAAAAGACGTTAAAAGATTGTACTTGTTGTTACCCTGTCTGGCGCTCGGCATTAAGGGGCTAAAACAAGGACTGGTCGGCTCGGAGTCAGTATACTGTGTCTGAGTGGGGTATTCATGTTAAACTGCGGCATGGTATCTCAGTGAGCTAGCACTATAAATCGGCATCAGTCCGGACTAGTACAAGCAGCCACACACACACATACACGTGCATGCACGTCGCTATATAAGTGCAATAATCTTGGACGCGACGTTAAACCCAATTTCACCTCACCTCACCTTGCAACATCACGTTGACTCTATCCTGCTTCAAGCATACCAATGGCTCGCAGACGCTCATTTTCGGACAGGCGTGGCATTTCGGAATGTTGAATAATTGCGTAATGTTGTTGTTTTTCTGAGTGGTTGTTGTCAGCACGATGCTAAACAGTGCATATGGAATCCCGTTAACGCACATGTTTTTATACCCATTCTCGGGTAGTGAAATGCATGGGGCTTGCATAAAAGTCAACTTTTGCATGGAATGCATGCTTTTCTGTAGCAGTTTCGTTTTTGTGACTTGACTCCATACATGTACTACAATATTGAAAACCAAACTTTACTTGTTTGAAATATACTCTAAAATATTGGTGTCACAGGAACTTCTGTTGTTGAGTATACTTAAAGGTGACCGTAATTAAATCACGGGGAATAATGAGGTAAGGTTGGAACAATGAAACGTACATGGAAACAAGCGTAACATGCAGTAAATCTGGAACACAACATGTGACCAAATGTCAGTATCTGGTGTGTCCCGCATGCCTCGGGGAAGATAGCCTCGTGACACTGCGTGATGCAATCTGGATTCGGTTACGAATGACATCCAGCGTTACAACGAACCAGGAACACCTAGTATAGTCTGTCTCACAGTCTGAACCATATTTTCTCTCCCATCCAGTCCTTTCTGTAATGTAAAAGCTCTAAATGAAGCAAGTCTAGATTTTCCTCAGGTTCTGAATCTCCCATCTGACTGGTGCCCCTTTTCACTTTAGATGGAATATTTTTTTTCTGTCAAAAATATATGTCTTCAGAGACAAAGCGTTAGTCTACAACAATGGGCCGAATGTCTGGACTCGGGTAAAGGGAGGACCGTGACGTTGTTTCCGATAGAGCGTCTGCCCTCGGGTAAAGGGAGGACCGTGACGTTGTGTCCGATAGAGCGTCTGCCCTCGGGTAAAGGGAGGACCGTGACGTTGTGTCCGATAGAGCGTCTGCCCTCGGGTAAAGCGAGGACCCTGACGTTGTGTCCGATAGAGCGTCTGCCCTCGGGTAAAGGGAGGACCGTGACGTTGTGTCCGATAGAGCGTCTGCCCTCGGGTAAAGGGAGGACCGTGACGTTGCGTCCGATAGAGCGTCTGCCCTCGGGTAAAGGGAGGACCGTGACGTTGCGTCCGATAGAGCGTCTGCCCGAAGCAGAATGGTTCGATCCCCATGTCGCTTCATACTAAAACACGTTGAAAGAAATAGATATTTCAGTTAGCTACAACTATAGATATGTCTTCAGAGACAAAGCGTTAGTCTACAACAATGGGCCGAATGTCTGGACTCGGGTAAAGGGAGGACCGTGACGTTGTTTCCGATAGAGCGTCTGCCCTCGGGTAAAGGGAGGACCGTGACGCTGTGTCCGATAGAGCGTCTGCCCTCGGGTAAAGGGAGGACCGTGACGCTGTGTCCGATAGAGCGTCTGCCCTCGGGTAAAGGGAGGACCGTGACGTTGTGTCCGATAGAGCGTCTGCCCTCGGGTAAAGGGAGGACCGTGACGTTGTGTCCGATAGAGCGTCTGCCCGAAGCAGAATGGTTCGATCCCCATGTCGCTTCATACTAAAACACGTTGAAAGAAATAGATATTTCAGTTAGCTACAACTATAGATCGGCATAAGTCCGGACTAGTGCAAGCAGCCACACACATGCACGTCGCTATATAAGTGCAATAATTTTGAACGCGATGTTGAACCCCAATCTCTCCTCGCCATCTAAAGGGTGGACCATTTGATTTCTTGGGGGTGGTGGTTGAATAATTCTCATAATTTTGGGTAAATAAGAAACTCAGTCTCCATCTGCTTGAAAAAAATAACTCAGGCCTCAATAAAAAGTCCCGACCACAATATGGCCATCCTCATCAATACAGAATATTTCGTGAGCAAAGCCATTATCATTGACAGGGAGACATGAACATGAGAGACAGTATTCCTGAAACCCTTATTTATTAAAAATCATCCATTCAAGAGGTCGTAACAGTTGTTGAATGTGATGGGAAATAATGACCATTAAGCATCATATACCTTTACTTGGAAAAATATACAATATAAACATATTTATTAATAAAAATAGTTTATGGCAATAACCTAAACTGACGAGCAAAATGAATGTTCCCAATCAACTTTCTTTGTTTCTAAAAGCAGAACAAGAAGATACTTTTATGGCCAAAAGACATGAAATAACAACATCATTACAAGCCAAGTTAGGTTATGAGAATTAAGTTGGTCTAAAATGTACCCTATTGCAGTTTGAGATGCATCATTTGTGAGAATGAAGAGTTTGTTTTGGTCAGGATATGCAAGGATGGTTGCTGTTGAAAAGGCTTGTTTCAGCTTTTCGAATGCCTGTTGGCATTTGTTGGACCATTCGAAAGACGCATCTTTTTCGGAAGATTATATTCAGAGGAGGTGATGCCAGAAAGGTTTGCTATAAATTTGCGATAATACGAGGCCAAACTTAGAAATGACACATGTCATTGACAATTTAATGGGGTTGGATCTGTGTGACTGAATCTATTTTCAAAGGATCGACACGGATGCCATCTGGGCTTGTTTTGTCGCAAATTTCCAGTTGCTTGGAGCCTGGCGTCACCTGTTTCTATTGTGTGATGATGTAAGTGAGTATGTCCTAATCCTTACCTATCTGAGGAAAAAACCTATCTTTGTGTTTGGAGAAATGCATTTTCCTGTTAATTTGTACTTTAAATATTGTCACTATTTTTGAAACGCTTTTGAGGACAATAGCTCCATGACGTTCAAGGGTATTGTTATAGTGTAAACCAGTTAAAGAGGTTTCTTTAAAACTTCAATTATCCAAAATACCTAGTTGTTTTAATGTTTCCAAAGTTCACTGAAATTCTATCTTCTTTTTCTGTTTATGTACACAGCAAACATTCAGTATCCCCTCTAATCATAAGCCTCTCCGAGTGGGACCCTTAATCCCCAGCGTTATATTTAATGT